ATTTCAAAGTGTCCGTCCCCATTATGTTTGACCTTAATTTCCCATCCCATCTTTGTTAATGATATTGACAGCGTCAGATGGACCAGGCAAAGATTTGTGGTCATTTTCGTGTTGTTTTTTTATTTATTGTTTTGTTTTTTTTTGGTGGGGGGAGGGTGGCTTTTAATCATTCGAGAATGAGATTGGACTATCAATAGAAATAATTTGATTTAAAATTTGAAAACTTTGAATAGAAGCATTGGCACGAAAGCTATAGATATTATAATTGATGACATTGAACTATTAGGACAAAACACGTAGGTATTATAATTGATGGCATGGAACCATTGGAACAAGGCGTATAGGTATTATAATTGATGACATTGAGCCATTGGAACAAAACACATAGATATTATAATTAATTGATGGCATTGAAGCATTAGCACGAAACATAAAGGTATTATTATTGATGGCATTGAAACATTAGCAGGAAACATAAAGAGAGCATACTATAAGATGTTGCTCTGTTGCAAACCCCTGAAAAATTTAGAAAATAAAGATTACTGTCCATTTATGTCGATGTCTTCTACTCCATGATTTATAAAACATAAAGAGCAATTTACTACGTCAAAGTATGCTAATTAAAGAAGGTCCTTTCTGTAAGTATTCAAATAAACCTATTTGTAAAAAAAAATAGATTTCATACGATAAAAATTAGTGAATTTTTAATCCAATCTATGTCAATTGTCTGGGCGTCAAATTTATCCCAAATCATGCTCTACTTAAACAACAAAACTCCATTGATTTGAATCTAATGAAAAAAACTAATTATTGTTCTCATTTTATCTTCATTGACGATTATTAATAATCATGATTAACTACTTTCTACACGATTGCCTCACCCGAATGTATGACGCGCTTGAAACCGCTTTCAATTTTTATAATTTTTAAATTATTATTTTCTTAAAGACGTCTACCCCAACATGAAATAATTCTGCTTGGGCGAGGACGCAGCTCTCAACACGGTTGTACAAGAGTGAATTTTTTTTTTTTTCTGTACAAAACATTTTTTTTGTCCATAAAAAAAAAATACAAATAACATAAACAAACTGGCGTATCAGCTTTCAGGTCTGTACCTGCCAACAGCAGCCTGTGTCCGTGGTCTGCTCACAGTTCACGAGGTGCTCTTGTGCCCTGACTCACACGGTGGTTGATAAACGTCTTGCTGTAATAACGTGCGATTATTGCATGATCTTCGAGTTTGGCCGTGGTATGTTCGTAGATCGCGTCCCGTCTCGGAGCTAATGTAGCAACCAAATTTAATAAATATTTTTGTTAGGGAGTAAAAAAAATTATTTTTAAAAAAAAAAAGCATCGCACGTACACACTGACGTCAATGACGATATGAGCCGAGATATGAAATGAGAAAACACGAGGAGGAAAAAAAAAATGGGGGAAACCCAGGCAGAACGACAATCCGGCTACCCAGCGCAGACAAACCATGATGAACTCAGACATCCAATAAAAAATAATTTTAAAAAGAAACAAAAAAAAAAAAAGTGAAGGAAACAAAATGTTGTCAAATATATTTATGTGTGTGTTGTGTGAGGGTGTCTGGGTTTGTGAGTGTCTCTGTATCAGATATGTGTGATCAAACGTAAGACTTTTCAGAGCCGTCGCTTGGGGGGCCCTGTACCCCCTGCGGGCCCCCGGAAATGTCGGGGGGGGGGGTCCAAAATTGAAATGGGAAAAAAAATTAAATCTGAAATTTTTTCAGAGCCGTCGCTTGGGGGGCCCTGTACCCCCTGCGGGCCCCCGGATATGTCGGGGGGGGGGGTCCAAAATTGAGATGTGAAAAAAATTTAAATCTGAATTTAGAAAGCAGGGACGCACAAAAAAGAATGGTGGCAAGGGGCCTAAAAAGTCACGTGAATATTATGGGCACTTTTCAAGACAAAACAAAATTAAAGGGAGAAATATGCATAGACCTATACAAAAAAAAAAAAAAAAAAAAAAAAAACAGGAATAGAAATTGAAATGCGAAGAGTCGTTACAAAACAATCAAAACGAAATACTGAGAAATTCATCTGAATTTTTTGTCCCTCTACTTCACATAACCATTTTAAAAAAAGAAAACTGAGGAAAAAATTGCCCATTGGTTGTATGTAAACTTGGAATAAAACCATCCTCTAATACGGCATTGAAATGGTAAGCGTATCAAAAAGCTGTGAGTCAGACGGGATAATGGTGTCGATTTACATCAGAAGCAGCACGTGCGTATTTGTACTCAAGCTCTTGAGCCAACAGTGGAACAAAAAAACCGTACCGAGGTTAGCACTTGAACTCTCTGTGGCGTGGCTTGAGTATTATGTGGGGTTTTTTAAACAACAAGAAGGCTCTTGAGATGGTGTTTGTATGTGTGTATGTGTGTCTGACGGCGTGTGTGTGTGTGTGTTGTATGTCTGTGTCTGTGTCTTTATGAACGCATCTACTAAGCCGCATGTGAGCATCACTTGAGCTGATGACTCTCAGAGTGATGTCCTTTGTTTGAATGAGTCTTTTGACCAACCTTCTTCAAGCACAACAACAATTGATGTGTGGTCACGAGAAGTTTCATTGATAGTCTTGGGTGATGATGTCCTTCAATGTCATACAAGTTTTTTTTTGACGAAGTCGCGAGCAGGAAGCTCCGCCCATCTCAGATTACAATCTAGGGGGAGTAAGTAGCCGGATGTTATTGAGGCAGCGGCGTACCATAGTAAATTATGTCTTTTTGAGGGTGAAATTATTCTCAGTCAAAAATATATGTATATATTATATATGTATGTGTGTGTATATATAGATATATGTAGATATATCACATTCTTAGAAGCTAATGCTGTGATTAACTGCAGGCAGCATTGAAAGAAAACAGGCAATACCCACGAAACTCTTCAGATGTCGACAAAGAATCCAAGTCTAAAATAAAATGTTTTCTAACAGAAACTTTTAAGGAAATAATTCTCGGGTTCATCATCACAAAATATCTAATGTCCTTACATAACGGATCCCAACACAGACGATCTTTGTGTTAACCAGACGACAGATTTGGGGGTAATGAAGACAAGGGTTTACTTCTGAGCCTGTGATTCACGTCATACAGGATTGAATGTCACAGCACAATACAAAATATAGATTTCAAATCATCCAATAAGTATATTAAGCGGTATTGCCAAAAGCTAATGCTAAATGTTGGATTACTTCCGCGTATAAGTCATTTCAATGTAAAGCTATGATCTACTTTTCTTCCATTTGGGCATTCCAGTGTAAAGCTATCATCAGCACTATCCATCAATAGGGCTTTGTAGTTTGGCCGTGACTTCATCCATTTTGGGATGGTAGTGTTAAGTTATTTACCGATGACGTCATTTATTAGTTGATTGCAGTTGGATGCAGTGCTCAGTATCCTTCTGCTGTAGGTCATGCAAGTGCTGATATTCTGGGGCAAGCGGTACCGCGTTCATCCCTTCTGGTATTTGAGTGCAAAGGTATAAAGTACGATTTTTGAATTATGGGTGAACGAAAAATAATATTAATGTAGTTTTCCGGGGAGTACATCCTATTATGGGGGGCTCGTTTTCTCAGAAATCTAAGTGACATGTGTGTTTCTCTATAATATTCAAAACCAGGTCTGTAGGCTGCGAGTGTTTAGGAATCCTTCTTTACCGGGACAGGTACAAGCTTATTTGTTTCGAAGCCCTCGTTGTACAGACTCGAATTTATGATGGTGTGATTCAGTCTGTTTGACATCTTTATGACTTACAACGCATGATTCATCAGAATGAAAGACCTCGATATCCAAAGGTTAAGACTTCTTCTTATTTCAGAAGGCGTGCGACTTAATTCTGCATGTACCGGTTCATAGTTCACGTCTTTGCAAATAATGTTAACACACACACTCTTACAGATAAAAATGAACATTTGAAAGAGGCGTTTCTTCCAGATTATCAAAACTGTTGACAATTTAAACATACATTTTTATAGTTCCTACGCGTTTTTCACAAGTTTCATTTGTAAGTTATCAAGGACAAAAAAAATAATAAATCCTGCAACAAATCCGAGACAAATTCCGTTTTTTTATCACAATTTTTTTGCCAAGAATAGTTTTTACTACATTGCTTTAAATTAGCTTGGGTTTGAAACGTAACATCTGCTGGACAACCTAAGGTTAACTTAAATATAATATGCTTTCAGCAAATGGATTTCTTAATTTGACTGATAGTGCAATCCAGTATTGAACTAACCAATATTTAACATAAATCTATAATTGTCGGTAGGCGACGACGCCAAAAATCAAACATTTTATGATTGTGACAACGCATATTTTATTCACAAAAAACGAAATAGCACTGCAAAAAGAACCATGATAATTAGAAAAATTGAATGCATTTCTTATAAAGGAAAAAAATCTAAACAGATTTTTTTTTCTCTCTCTCTATATATATATTTATTTATTTTTAAAATTCAAGTTTACAACCTGTCCACCTTGGAAATAATTGTAAACCTGAAACCATCACAGTTTTTGTTTTCTTTACGTTAAGTCCATCACAGTTTTTTGTGGTTTCCTCGAGATGTTGGCGTGGGCGCGGCTCCTTATCTCTCAGCGAGAGGAAGTAAACATGCCACGGGCCGGGGTGATACCTGATCCACTTCCCATGATGTGATACCTCGCGCGGTGTACATCTAGACCCACCGGACGGCAACGCCTATGTTAAGTGTCGGATAAGTGCATGACGACAATGGCTTTCGCGCATTTTTTTTTTTTTCGTTTTAGCAGGAGGGGCCAACACGTAGATGAATGGGGAGCATTCTTTTCTGTTTTTGGAAAAGGGTGGGGGGGGTGATAACTGGGAAATATTAGTGGNGGGGGGGGGGGGGGGGGGGGGGGGTACGGTCTCCGCCCCTCCAACAGTAGCAATCATAAGCCAACTCGGAGTGGCTATATAAATCTGTCTCCGGCGCGAGGGGTTTTACAACTAACGGTGTCACCGCACAAGAATTCGGACCGCTTTAGCTGTACATGTATATACACACGTATATATAACGATACATATACACACACGAGAGACATACGAGCAGCGCATGTAAACGCTAACAGCTGTCACCGGAGCACACGCTTAAACCGAGACCCGTGATAAGTTGCCGATCGAGATGGGGAAGACAACAGAGTGCCCTTTTTCGCCCAGAAAGGTAAATTAAAAAAAACCTCCATTCTTTTATCTTTACGTAAACTTGTTATACCCATAAAATAAACCGTTGTTTTTTTGTTTTTTTTTTTGTTTTTTTTTAAAATAATCTGCTCTATTTTATTCCCTTCTTTTCGTTTCCTTTTCTTTTCGTTTCATCCCTGCTCAACTTTTTTTCTTTTTAACTCCTCCTGTACCTTGTAGTTGTTGGTTTTTTTTTAAAAATCTAACGGAAAGCCGTCATTGAATTCCGCGGAGCAGTTTCCCCGTTGTCTATATCCAGAGTACACTAGCAGTAACTTTGCCGTGACCTCGCCCCGCCGTGTTTACCCCAGGCCCCGAGATAATGTGTCACAGACGTATGTTCTAAATTGATAAGGAAACATAACCTAAATTACAATGGAAACCACCAGCGCCGCTCAGACACATATACCACACACACACACACACAAAAAAAAAGCCATAAGGAAAAAAAAAAAAGAAAGAAAAAAATAATAGGAAGGAGGGTTAAAAAAAATAATAATAATAATAGTCTCGCCACCACGGCGATGANAATAATAATCGTCTCGCCACCACGGCGATGAGATGCAGGCGTGTTGGAAACGCCTGGTGGTAAAGCTCATGGATATCATTTTTGTGGTGGGCTGTACCAAGATTTAAAAAAAAAAAAAAGTAACTCTGTGGACTGTACCGATGGGTATTTATTGAGTAGTTGGTGGCCTGTGTTAAGACTGCAGTAGCACCTGTGCTCCCCTGTGTCCGTTGTGTTTAAACAAGAGGCGCCTCGCAGTTCCCGATGAGAGAAATCATGTTGAGGACGGGTTTTTCTGACTGATGGTGTTCTAACTCGTGGTGTTGTAACGGATGGTGTTCTGACTGGTGGTGTTCTATCGGATGGTGTTCTGATTTGGGTATCAGGGGCTCCAGCAAATAATTAAATATACGCTTAACTGGTTGTGAATTAGCATATTTCATGCTGTCTACAATCATACCTTGTAAAAAAAATTAAAAAAAACTGAGTCGATATAATTTAGCAAGACATTTTGTTATAATGGAATTCTTTAGTAAGACTTTTTGTTATACTGGATTTCTTTTATGAGACATTTTGTTATAACGTAATTCTTTAATAAGACATTTTTTTGTAATGGAATTCTTTAATAAGACATTTTGCTAAAATGGAATTCATTAGTAAGGCCTTTTGCTATATTGGAATTCTTTGATAAGACATTTTGTTATAATGGAATTCATTAGTAAGGCATTTTGTTATAATGGAATTCTTTAACAAGACATTTTGTTATAATGGAACGCGATGTGGTGAAAGGAGGGTGATGGAAGAAAAATACGGATAGACGTCAAGGTGATACCTTCGAGATTTCATGGTTTTAGCGGTTCTCACATGTGTGCTGGTAATGTTTTTATTGTATCACAACTGCGTACTGAACTGGTTTCTGCGAGTCACCAAGATCATATGTCTGGTGAGTCCTTACTCCTTATTCGCTACTTACTGTGTTTTCTTTTTACTTTCAAACTATTTTACATTATATTGTTTCTCATATTATTTTCCCGTTCTATCTAGATTTCTATCATTGTTTATATTTTTCTTTTTTTTCCCGATTTTTATGAAAATCTATCCTTGTTTGTGTATTTCTTTCTTTCTTTGCCCCTCCTGCTATTCACTACAGTTTCGTTTTTCTTTTATTTTCCTTCCTAATTGCAAATTTTGCTGCATTGCGTCTTTCTTCTTCATTGCTTTATTTGGATAGTCTTTCCGTTGGTTTCTTCCTTTTTGTTTCTTTCTAACAAGATCTGCCTCCTCTCTCTCTCTCTCTCTCTCCCTCTCTCTCCCTCTCTCTCCCTCTCTCTCTCTCTCTCTCTCTCCCTCTTTCTCTCTCTCTCTCTCTCTAGTAACTAGCAAGTGGTAAAATCGTCTTACTTTCTGACATAACTTCGTACACCACGGTGTATCAACGTGATTCTATCAACTCTGACGGCGGCTACGTAGCAATAACTCCAGCTACATCTGGCTTCTAGTTGGGGGAGAGTTACCCCCTTGACATAAATAAATTCGTCCATTAATTTCAAACAATGAATCCTGGATTAGTAGAACGGGACGGTCGTGAGGGATGGCGCTGGGGCTGTGAAAACTGTATAAATTATGCGCACCAGGTGATTTTGAACATGGGGCCGTCATGGTGCTATGACCTGATTGTTAAAATTTTTATTTTAAATTATTTTGGGATGAGATTTATTAATGATCCTGCTGTATTTTTTTGTCATTTGGACAAATCCTTGTTAGAAGATTTGAAATATTGCTGTTGGTATAAATTTGCGTACATATTTTTGGATAGACTGTGATCAGTAACAACTCTGACTTTGCCCTCTTCTTTTTATTCAACGTTCAACTCCATTAAACTCTGAAAGTAATAGCTTTAGGCAGAGCTCAGAATTATTGTTTCACGTGAATGGGGTGAGTGGATTAACACTGGTTGCCATGCAATCGTTCAGTAAGCCGTCATAAGTTAGAATATAAAACAAATTATACTAGAGAACGCACGGGCCAAGTAACAAATGAGCTGCCATGGGTCGTCAAACAAAAAAAGTAATGTCTACAACATCAGTTAGGAACATAAATCTGGGGCGGCTCTGCTCGCCTCCCCCTCTCTCTCTCGCTCGCTCTCTCTCTCTCTCTCTCTCTCTCTTACTGTCTCTCTGTTTGTCTGTCTCTCTCTAGCCCCCTCTCACTTTCTCTCTCTGTCTCCTTATCTCTCTCTCTCCCTCCTGCTTCTTCGTATGCATTTTTTTCTATATCATAAATTACTTCCTATTCTTCAGTAAAGTGTTGCTGTAGCATGTCTACATGAGGCCACTTTGTCTTAAAGCGCGAATCTTCCAAACAAGGAAACATTCGATTGTGTATTCAAAAACGAATTGAGAACACTCGAGTCAAACGGATTTTTCTTCAAGTTACACTGTCCATTCATCAAAATTTAAGACATTAAGGAAAAAAAAATCTAAAATCGGTTATTTTTTCTGTATACGGTAGCGTTCTCAGAGTTTAGCGACATCAAACATGTTAATTGGCACAGGTACTTAAACAGAATTCTCTGTATATAAACATGGAAAGTTTTTTTTTTTTTTTTTTTTTTTTTAAAGACGCACTGCACCGTTTTGCAGAACTCTAGCCCGCAAGTGAAGATACTCCCCAGGACTACTCTTACATAATACCACACAAACGAATGGCCTACAACAGAGACATTGATATGGACCTGTCTTAATGCTAAGCTCTTTTCGCTCTGGCTTAATCTCTCCAGGAAACTTAATCAGGCCGTTAATTAACTCGGTCGGGGGTTTTCTGCGTCGCCGGGCCGTCCCATGGCGGTAACAGACACGAGACTTTTGGAGGGTACACAAGATGATTCGTGTGTTCGTATCTTACAGCTCAGTGTGATTATGTCTGTATGTTAATGTGTCGAATATTTACAAGAAAACCAAACAATGGATTGCAACCAAATTCGACATGGTCATTTCTTCTGACCTAAAGATGGTTCCCCCCGACCTAAAGATTGTTCCCCCTGACCTACAGAGGTCCCCCCTGACCTACTTAGGGTTCCCCCTGACCTAAAGATGGTCCCCCCTGACCTAAAGATGGTCCCCCCTGACCTACAGATGGTCCCCTTTTGACCTAATGATGATCCCTCCTGACCTACTGATGGTTCCTGGAAAGTTTGGTCATCATCCCCTTATCTCAAAAGCTGTAAATCAGATATAACAATATTTTGTCAAACTTTGTAGAAAGGTCCAAATGCATTTTGGAGTATCTTTATCTTAAATGTATTTTAATTATAATAAACTAAGCTATAAAGGAAGGCTTGGGTTACAATGCAAGCTTCTAGGTAAACTGTTGCGTATATGGCAAAACTTGGTAAAAATATCTTCAAAATCCATTTTAAAATAGCGATGGATTTCAAAACGAATAAAAATCCACATGTTTTTGTGCAGGGTGTGCCAATTTTATTTTAAAGATAATATTTTATTTTTGGCGTTTTCAGCCAATTTTTTTTGTTTTTTTTGTTTTTTTGTTATCCAACCCTAAAAATACTCAATGATGTCAAATGTTAAAGATTATATCCTCTTGTTGCAAGAAAGGAACAGTGGGACGGGGGCATAGTAACATCTGAAAAGGTCATTTCCTTTCGATTTATTGATATAAACTTGACAAATTAACTTGAATTTTAGTTTAAAAAAAAAAAAAAATTAATTGATAAACATCAATAGATTAGATTTTTAATTCTTTGTTTTTTCAATAAGAAGTTTTTTGAAAGGTGTTTTCTTCTTTAAATCCTGTTTTTTGTTGTTTTTTTCTGTGCCCGCCTAGATATTAAATAAAACGGCGAGGGTCCCAAGTTCAAAGTTTACAAGATTTTGTATAAATCTGGCGTTTTATAGGAGAAATGGTGTGTTTGGGGATTTTTGTATTGCAACTTTAGCGATGTGTTTTTGACAGGGATCGAAATTTCTTTGTTCGATCAAATCCCAGCAAAGCCGGGCATGGTGGCTAGTATTGAAATAAAAGGGATATTTTGTAATGAAACAAATCAATAAACTTAGTTTACTGCTTGCCAAAAATGCAATGTCATGTAAAGTCAACGTTAGTGAGAGTAAGTTTCTAGTCTAGTGGTTGAAGTTAAGTGTATGTCAGAACAAGCACAATATCATGCACAGGCTACAGGCTACAATCGGCGATCATATACAATGCTGAAAACGGTTTCCCAAGCACCCTTCTCGTCCTAGCCACTAGCAGTCTAGTCTCGAAGCACCCCGATGACCATGTTACTTGACCGTGTACTGACTCGCGCACAGCTCTTGTGATTCACGCACCTGTTACCGTCACGTGAACACGTCTACGCTTTGCACTTTTATAATTTTTTACTAAGACTTCCTATCATGTACAGTTTACATGCGAAAAGGATTATAGGAAATATTTTCTTTCTTTTTTATTTTCTTCATCCAAAAAAAGTTTTAAAAAGCCTTTCTTTGAACTCTGTACTTTTAAGATGTGTCGCATTGAAGCGTGGCGTGAAAACACGATTGAAAATATTTACTTTAATTGGGAAAATCCTACACGTTCTATCCTCTTGTTAGAGCATGTCCTTTTGTCTGATCTAACTTTTAAGTACGTAAAGAATTGTTATAAAGATTAAAGTAGCAGCACATCCCGTTTAAAAGTTCATAATAGGCCAGAATCAATCGGACGGGGAATGATGCAAATGATGCAACGTCTTGAAAATAATCTTTAGTAATTTTGTCCGGCAACAACTTTGCCCACACGGGGGCTCTCAAACACGAAGACGGTGCTCATTTATGTGAGAAATTATATTACACTAACATATCCTATGTGTGTGTCGATTTTTTAACTGTAGTGTGTATGAGCTTCGATTAAATCTCATCACATCTAAGCTTCTAACATCTGAAGTATGCCGTATATACAGACCACAAATAACCCCGCCAACCAGTCTAATAAAAGAAAAAAAAAAGAGCCACCGATGTGGTCTCAAATGTTCGCTTAAAAGTTCTTCATTGCGTGGGCGTTCTAAGTGTGAAGAAAAAAAAACAACTTTTGATCGAACTAAAGAAAAAAAATCTACTACCGAACGATTTTTGTTTATTCTTGGCGACAAGCTGTGACCAGGTGGAATGAATAGATTCGCAAATGGTCAATGAACTTCGTATAAGCCCCATCGGGAAGAGATTTTTTTTTTTTTAAAGTGACTCGTGTCATAATGACGAAATCATTAGACATACATTGCCAATAATCTCTACACCCTGTGTCAGAAAACTCTTATCAACATGAGGAGAATCTGCGACACTGCTGGTGGCAAAACACATGCATTTAATGTAACTCAAAGACGTGTGGGGTAGAGGTGAGTTAGCAGGGCTTCTTTGAGAGTTTTGGGGTGGTAATAGCCAGGTGTTTTTGAGAGTGACTTTTTGGGGTGGGGTAAAGTGTTGGGTTAATGAGCCGAGTAGGGTGATGAGTTTTGGGTTTGGCGTATTGTTATTTGATGGATTGGTCGGGGTGGGGGGGGGGCGGTGTTAGGGCTCTTTGGGTGTTTTTTTGTTTTGTTTTGTTGTGTTGATTTTTAAAGCTAAGGCAGAGCTGGACTGTTGAGAATTTAAGTTTGTCTTTAACGCCTGTTAACCCAAAAATGTCGAAAGTGGAAACGATTTTATAATTCTTAGTACTTCCAGTTAGGTTCATGTTGTAAAGGATGACATTGAATAAAATGTTTCAATAATACACGATAACCTAATCAGAGGCGTCCCATCAAGTCCGCTAGTTGTAAGCATAGCCATAGCAATTAAAGATTTTTTTGTTGGTTTTTTTAAATAAAACAATTTATTGTTTAAAGAATTTAGATGTTTAAGTATTTTACTTCAATTTTACTGTGGTTCAATGATAGACAGTCTTGAACGCTTTAAAACGACTTGATTCTTTCCTGTCTGTACATCCACACCACACCACACCACCCACCCTCACCCCACCTACCCCACCTCCACCTCACCCAACCCACCTCCACCTCACCTCACCAGCCACCAACTCCCATCCCACCACCAACCCCCTAAAAGACCCCCCTCCCCCACCTAACTGGGCAATGCTAATTTATTTAGAGTCGTGGTTATTCATAAATTGACTTGAGTCTGTCTGACTGTACCAACCGTGTGGGAATGACTCGCAGCAAATGAGACCAAACAGTGAACCCAACCAGTCGATCGGTTCAAACCCGAAATCTCGATGAGACATCGGCGTCGGTGGTGGCTCTCAAACTTACACATGTCGTGACCACCATGAAGCTTAAAGACCAATAAGTTCCCCTTGACGCCTACTCATTCTCCCCCCCACCCTCTTCCCCCCCCCGCACCCAGACAGACATTATCAGACAGACATAGGACATGAAGGGTCTTTGGTCAGCACAAAGCAGTGCGATGTCATCTGTCATGAGGACACGCCAAGGTCGAAGCTTGTCTTTGGGAAGAAAAAAAAATAAAATAAAATTATTTAACAAACTCCTGACGTCTGCAGTAATATGAATCGATTGTTACTTCCCTTTGCAATATGCAAGGTCCTCACTTACACCTGCCGCTCCTTTCAGTTTTTGCTTATGAGACACACTCGTCAAGCATAATTTTTTAATTTTTTTTTTGACACAGCTAGTCAACTAGTGTGTGTCACCTGTGTAGTCAGCTTATCGACCACGTGACATGAGACATATCTGACATGTCTACCGTGTTGTCAAACCGTTTCCCTGGCATGCGAGTGCTACATAGTCAATCGATAGAAAAATACATCTGTGGCCACTTCCGCCAAGTGACTCCTCTTAGATACGTGACCTAATGAGTTACTTGGGTCACTTCTGATACACTTCGATGTTGCCAGGATTTTCCCACGGTTTGGACGGTCAGTCACTACAAACATGAAATCTAGGAAAACACTACAAAGGTACAACGTTTTATCACATTCTAGAGAGCGTGGAGTTAAGTGCCGTGTAAACGCCGTGGGGTTTTGCAGAAAGATACCAGGAATCCTCGTAACGATGGCAATCGTGTTCGTCCATCTGAGAATCACCACTTGATGGCCTTCCAGTTTTACAACAAACTCAATCATGTACTTCCTTTTTCTCACGCCACATTGAATTTCAAAAAGGGATGTAAATAGATTTATAAATATGAGTAAATTATATCAGCCAATGCAAAAGACCAATTCGGTGGTATGTGGCGCCAGCTTCTATCTGTTAAAAAAAGTTTCTAAAAAAAAAATAATTTAAAAAAAAATAAAAAATTCTCTAATCCAAGAAAAAACTTGAGAGTGTTTATACCACCCCCCTCCCCCCTTTTCATGAAATTCTCTTGCTCAAACTAAACCTAACCCTAACCCTAACCACTTAGACGCCATTGCCATGATGTTCTATGTTTAAAGGACTTTTTCCAACTGTCAAGGAAACCCCTCAGCGGCAATGTTGAAGTAGGTCAGAGTGCCACTGAAATAAAACTTATCTTTAAGAATGCAGTCTTAACGTAAGAAATACCATCAGACCAGATCAGTGGTTCCCGGACTGTTGGGTATATGGTTCGAGAAATAGCTTTTATGGTTAGAATTACTGAAACAACCCATCACTCATCCCATCACTCATCCCATCACTCATCTCATCACTCATCCCATCACTCATCCCATCACTCATCCCATCACTCATCCCACCACTCATCCCATCACTCATCCCATCACTATCCTCTCACGCTGACTTCTGGGATTAGAGAGTAAGGATACCTTAAGTTGGTTGTGGATTCATCTGCTGGGTTGGGGGGGGGGGCACAAACTTGTATTTTTGACCTTTTCTCTTCCACAATTCATTCGCTCAGTCTGCAAAATGATCTGCGAGATGAATCACAAACTTCAACACATTAACACTCTTTCAACCCGAAAAATAGTTTAGTGCTGTACATCACACTGATTGTAACTCGTTTGGCGTATCAACTTCCTCATTGACTCATTTGCGGTGATCACCGGTTAACTGATTTTTTTATTTTAAGGACGCATATTTCATGGTTATTTTATCATGTTTTAGTAATGGGGTACGATGCTCAATATTTTTATTTTTATTTTTATTTTCGAATATGATCCTCTTTCTGTTAAATAGTTGAGACCCACTGACCCCCAACACAAATAAAGCACATCGAATGCCATAAAACGTTTGAATCAACAAACACCCTCCCGGTGACGCAACTCAGGTGGCACACATCACCGTTGGTGTTCAGAGCGGTGCCATCCGTTCACCTTCTCGGCAATTAGTCATTGCCATTTGATTTATTCACACTCACTCACTCTGCTGGCCGGCCAGCCTTGCTGTCACCATTCCTTCCGTGTGTGGCCCCCATTGTTGCGTAATGCTGCTTCTCTTTATTATGATTGACTCAATGTTTTGAAAAACAGAGGACCTACGAGCAGAATGAATGTTACTTCTGATTGGACAGAGGACCAACAAACAGAATGAAAGTTATTTCTGATTGGAGGGTAAATGACAGAGTGCGTGCAATTCAGCTGAAATTTTAGAAGTATAAATTATGACTCACTTGTCATGGCTTCAAGCAGAGACGTTCTTATGATTTTTTGGGGCCCTATGCATGGAGCGTAGGTAGGGGGCCTCGGAAATGGGGGGGGGGGCGGGGCGGAGCTGAGGAGAAAACAGAATAGTGAGGTTTCAAAATAGACCTCAGACGAGAGATTTATATCCCACTACTGCGGCACCTCCATTCTGCCTTCGCCACTGTTACCTCTTTGCTCGCGTCTAACCACTAACCATATTGATCATTCCGTCACGAGAGAAAATGTTTACTTTTGCAAAATATGGACTTGCGAGTTGCAGGCTAAAAAATTAAGCGCATGGCGTGGCCCCCTTGGATGTGGGGCCCCCTTGGATGTGGGGCCCCCTTGGATGTGAGGCCCTAGGCGGACGCCTAGTTTGCCTCTGCCTGAGAACGGCTCTGCTTGTAGCTGCTGAAGGCTGTTTGATATAGACAGATTCTTAAAGCGCCATACACCAACAAAAAGCTCATAGTCTTAACCCCTAAACATATCGACAAGCGGGGTTGGGGGGGTGGGGGTGGGGGGTGGGAGGCCCACAGACACGCGATCACCTGACATAATGAGAAGTGTCAGAAGTTGAGATCTGAATGTGTGCTTTCGTTGCCCAAGGTTTGCATATCTTAATTATGTATTGTTCTGTCCATTTGCACGAGCAACTCGAACTTGTCAATTATTCCCTTAACGTTAAGCATTTGAAGGGTCACCATAGTGAAGCAGCTTGGCGTTGCTGTCTGAGACATTATTTTGTGGTTAATGTTCAAACCCTATCTCCCCACCCCACTACTGCCACCCCCGCCCCCACCCCTGTTTTCCCATTCACTGCCTACTACACTTTAATTACCACTTAAAATATACCAGTATGATAACCATTAGCAATTAAAGTTTCACAGATGCTGGTGTGTAGTTTACACTTTAGACCACCATGGGGTCCTGCATTGCATCACGTATGACAGGGATCCCTCAGCTGGGGCGTAACACCACCTTCTGTAAACAATATCATTTCGTTACTATTACTATAATATAGAGAATGTATATCATAAAACAAAAATCATGGACTACAAACAAAATTTAAGATTTTCATCTTTTGCTTTGCTCCAAAGGCCGTTTCAAGATCACAGAAATATTTGTTTACTTATACTTAATTTTAACTGTTAAACCTTTGCTTATAATATGTCAATGCCATGGCTAATGATATAAATATGTCATCTCGATCAAGCATTCCATTTTAAAACGAAAATTGAATGATTCAACATTCAACATAAATATTCACAAACAGAAAAGAAAATGATGCAGTTGGCAATGTCGTGGGTGTGTTTTATGTTGCTGTTTTTTTTTTAAACACGACATGTGAGCAGATCCGCACAGAATGTTTGTTTGCTTACCGTGATATGAGCTCATCGATGGGCCCACAGCAAATCTCGGCTGTGAATGTCATCTCATCAAAGATAACTGAGACCTCCTGCCTGAGGTCAAATCTAAATTTACACATGAAACACTCCCAAGGTTGTTTTGTTGTTTTTTTTTTCCTTTTTTAAAAAGACAATGGTCAGCGTTACCTTCCCTGCGGTTACAGCGGTTCTCATGATTTATATTTTTGTCTCGACTAACGCTCGAGCTCATAGCTCAAACAATGAACTTACGGGTTAAGAGTTCATGCATCTAATAAAACTTAAATAAACAGTGGACTGGGATACGGAGAAGCAAACATTGCTTGTGTAAAATATTCCATAACAGTAACATTTAAAGAAATTAAATTGATGTGCACTCTTCAGCGGTAATAACATCACTTAAGTCAGGCTGTAGACTCCATCATGCTGCATAATTTTTTAAACAATATTTTTCTGGTTTCGATAAAAAATAACAATTCTTCCCCTCTCACCACAAAACATCACTCCCCCTCCCCCCCCCCCCCCCCCAACACACAAAATAAGCTTTCAGAATTCTTTCACAAATAATATTGTTGCTCCACTTCACCACTGTATGCACACACAATAATTTTTTAAACAATATTTTTCTGGTTTCGAAAAAAAAAAACAATTCCTCCCCCCCCCCCACAAAACATCCCCCCCCCCCCCCCCCCCCCCCCCCCAACACACAAAATAAGCTTTCAGAATTCTTTCACAAATAATATTGTTGCTCCACTTCACCACTGTATGCACACACAAATACAATTAAAATGTGTCGTTTCTTGTTTTCTTGAGATTCCTTCCAAAACGTACGTTCCTTGCTGACACCGTGACCTGGTTTAAGAATCCCTGACTAAGACACTGTTCGATGACATCACGAAGGTCGTGTTTGATCTCACGTACAACTGGGTCACTGGCCTGTTGTGTTTAACCCCCACGGGTCGAGGGCCCTCCCTCCCCCACCCCCCACCTTGTCACTCACGTTTCATACAAGCGCCGTGTGTTGAGTTTCGTGTTCAGCACTGAAATTCTGCAATGTGTTTAAAGTCAGTGCAGCGTCTGTCTATGTCGATAGGCAATACCCTGATGTTTTAACCACCTTACACTAGCTTGACATCCACACCGTGTGACTTTCAGTTGGTATGATGCAATGGCTCATTATATTGATTGAACAGTAGGACGAAATTTTCACTCAATTTAAAATTATCAAACAAAAAAGAAGCTTCAATGATTAATGTGAAACCCCTTTTCTTCTTCTAGTTACCAATGTGTAACTAACCTTTGTCTTTGTCAACGTGGACGTATCGTGTTATGGAAGCAAAGACACGAGCTACAACACCATAAGAAGAAATAATGTCCTTTGAAAAGTTATATATACAAATATAAACTAATAGTCAATGACATAATTCGGCAAATGCATTTTATTCTAAAAAGGTGGCTTATATCTTTAGATTAAGGACGTATAGATTTACGAACTTTGGGAGTCAAAACTCATCGAAAACCTAAGCTAGAAAGTCACAAAGTTAGAGAGTATCTAAGCTAGCAGGTCCCAAACTTAGAGAGTACCTAAGTTAGAAAACCACAAAATTAGATAGTAACTAAGCTAGAGAGTCACAAACTTAGAGAGCAACTAAGCTAGAAAGTCACAAAGTTAGAGAGTATCTAAGATAGCAAGTCCCAAACTTAGAGAGTGCCTAAGTTAGAAAACCACAAACTTAGTTGGTAACTAGGCTAGAGAGTCACAAACTTAGAAAGTAACTAAGCTAGAGAGTCACAAACTTAGAGAGTAACTAAGCTAGAGAGTCACAAACTTAGAGAGAGAGTAACTGAGCTAAAGAGTCACAAACTTAGAGAGTAACTAAGCTAGAGAGTCATAAACTTAGAGAGTAACTAAGCTAGAGAGTCACAAACTTAGAGAGAGAGAGAGTAACTAAGCTAGAGACTCACAAACTTAAAGTGTCAGTCGCTTAGAGAGTCACAAGCTCATATAGTCCCAGGACAAAACGTTCAGGATTCAATATAAAGTGTCTAAGTCAGTTTTACCCTTTCGATTTCATTTCTCTCTCTCTCTATCCGTTACTGATTACGAAAAAGAATGTAATGAGACGCATTTATGCTCTGCACACAACAGACATCATGAAACTAGAACTGTGCCACCTTACACGGCATATTTATTTATAGCTCTCTCTCTCTCTCTCTCTCTCTCTCTCTCTCTCTCTCTCTCTCTCTCTTTATATATATACAGCTAACGATTTTATTTGTCTGCCTTCTGCCAGTTCCCATTACCCAAGCTGCCAGTGCCCGATCTCCAGGGTACCATGGAGAAATATCTCAGCCTGATCAAGACAGTGGTGTCCCCTCAAGAATATTCCAGGACCAAATACACCGTGGACGAGTTCTGTAAGCCCGGGGGTGTGGGGCACGAGCTCCAGGAGTATCTCTTGAAACGACAGCAGTGCATGGACAACTGGGTAAGTGGGCCCCGGATGTTGCCATGGTAACATATTAAATAAACAACGGCAAAGTTTCCTGGTAAAATGTACTCATCTGTGTGTAAAGCAGGAATTCTCACATAATTAATTGTTTCTCTGAGCCAAATCCTCATTTGAAATAGTTCTGTCAGTTGCATACAAAAATATTTTTTTTTTTAAAGCAATTAAAAATAACAACCGAATACAACACCAAAAAAAAACAAACAACAACAATGGACGCTATCAATGACCTTCACTCTCGCAAGATATGACTTGGATTAGTTGTGTTTTTTTTAATGCCATAGTTAATATTTGAGCGTACTCTCTTATTAAAATGCACGCGTATTGTTTGACCATGAGGTTATCGCGACGAACAGTTTGCCCCCCCCTCCCGTAAGATTACGTGACGAACATCAGAGACGACCTTACGAAAAGTCAACAGCTCTTGCAGATTATATTTTTTTTTTCAAAAGGTTGCGGGCAGATGAGTTAGCACAAATCCAATCATAGTTTGTTACATATATGAACTCAACAAATGTATGATAATTAGTTGAAGGCCGTGTATAGTTCAAGGGCGTAGACAGTCCATGGGCGTATTTCTTATAATTTAAATAAATTACACAATTGAACGAAATTTGGCAAGAAGCAGAAAATTGAAAAAAATGTGTGGTTTTCCTTCTCTCCCATTCTCAACAATGGTAAATGTTTGTGATGACAGGTAGGTGTGATAAATCGAACCTCACCATGTCTCTCGCAAACCTATGAAGAAAGGATAGAAGCAGTGCTTCTCAAACTATTACATGGGACGGATGGGTAGGAATTTATCTACGCTGCTGCAGGGCAAAGGGTTACAATTAATTGACTGCGTCAAATCCATATTTTTCCATCTTCTTAAATTGTTTACCTTTTTTTTTTCCCCCGACCAATCGACAAGGAGCCTGTAAGAGTAATGTTGTGTGAGTTGACCGCCACTTTGAGATCCACAGATGTTTAAATTCTACACAAAAGATAAACATTAAACTTGTGTGATTGTTATCGTTCGCCCCCCCCCCATTTTTCCCGGTATATTTTTTTTTTTATTTACCCCCCTCCCTTATGTTAAGCACTATTTATTTACTAACCTCTCCCCTCCCCCCCCCGGGTCTATGTTTCCAGGCCAACGAGTGGTGGCTTAATGACATGTACCTCAACGTCCGCATCCCGGTGCTCATCAACCCCAACCCAGCTGCCGTGTTTCCATACCAGGGATTCCCGTCTCACAGAGAGCAGATCAGGTGGGTACCTTCCCAGTTCCACGGCTAACACAGCCTACGCGGACCAAGACGCCTTCTCCCCCCCCCCCACAAATAGATGAACAAAGCTGTATACATGAATAGAGTTCAGTACCACAAAACTTAACCCTCGAAAGCCTTGCGGTAACACTTATTGAATGCAGTACAATTTGAGTGAACAAGGAAATATTTTTTTTTTCTTAAAAACTTATTTTTAAAAACTTTACAACCCTATACAAATAAAACGACCCAGAAATTATGTTTTAAAAAATATGTGTTTTTTTTAACTTTTAATTAATAGTTAAGGCCGCAAAATCATGTATGCCTTGCCTCTAGTTTTTTTTGTTTAATTTTAATAATGCTCATTTTCTTTCTAATGCCCTTTTTCAATCTACTTTTTTTTTCTATTTAATTTCTTATCTGATGTAATTTTCAGATTTGCAGCAAAATTCATCCGAGGCATGCTGGACTTCAAACACTTAACTGACACGTAAGTCCTCACACACAGTCCTTCCACACAGTCCTACCACACAGTCCTAACACACATTCCTACCACAAAGTCCTAACACACGGTTGTACCAAAAAGTCCTAACACACAGACCTAACAGACAGTCCTACCACACAGTCCTACCACACAGTCCTAACACATTGTTCTAACACACACTTCTACCACACAGTCCTACCACATAGTCCTACCACACAGTCCTACCACACAGTCCTACTACAATTTCCTAACACACAGTCCTAACACAGTCCTACCACACAGTCCTACCACACCGTCCTAACACATTGTCCTAACACTCAGTCCTATTACATAATCCTACCACACAGTCCTACCACACAGTTCTAACACAAAGTACTACCACATAGTCCTACCACAAAGTCCTACCACACAGTCCTACCACAAAGTCCTAACACACAGTCCTAACGCACTGTCCTAACACACAGTCCTACCACACAGTCCTAACACACTGTCCTAACACACAGACCTAACAGACAGTCCTAACACCCTGTCCTAACACACAGTGCTACCACACAGTCCTAACAGACAGTCCTACCACACAGTCCTAACAGACAGTCCTACCACACAGTCCTCACACTCATTTCTCACACACAGCCAATTCATATATTTAAAAAATAATACACAAATATGTTTCAAAAAAGGTCAGCCCTGGTTCACACGAGAGCTGACATGCTCCAGATATGAAAAGCATGAACGTATTTCAATGGGTCTCCGTTATCGTGTCCCAGCTGGACCGCGTTATCATTGTTATCGCATTACATTAAGATAACACCACTTTCACCCGGAATGAGCTCATAATCTTACAATTGTGTTAGATAAAGGAACAATTTTGTTTTTTTTTTTTTTTTTTTTTTGTTTAAAGCAAAGACTTCTTTGTAAACCGGGAATACTAATAACACAGACTCAAACTAATTGTGTTTCCCCGTGAGGGTTAAACGCAAGTATTTATCCACTCATTCTCTCCCCCTTGTTCAACACCACCCTACTCTCTTTAACTTTTTCTTTTCTTTTTTTTTTTTTTTTATAATCAACGACCAACGCACGTGATAAATGCTAGGGCAACATCAACACATAAAAATGTGGCACAATAAAATATTGCAGGCATAATTAGATCGTAAAAGACTCGAGCAAACATCGTGTCTCAGCTCCATGTTGACCGAGGCGGCCCCGAGTCTTTATAATTGAACCCTCCACGCAATATTTGCCAAGGAACACAACCCTTAATCTATAACGGGTTGAGCAAAGGGGCCGCAATGGAATAAAGGGACACAAACATTACATCATTTTCTTTCTTTTTTTTTTTAATTATTATTTTCAAACTCTTTATGTTTTCTTTTTTCATATCAATTTTTTTCTTCCCTCTTAATTTTGAAAGTGGGAATAAAATTCTAGGCACGGTTTGTGTATTGCTTGACCATATCGCGTTGCCTGAAATCAATTTCCCCCCACAAATGTAAAGAGCAGTTAAGGGGCGAATAGAAATTATTGCCAAGCACAAACCGGAAGAAGAATGGAGAAAACGACCTTTGCCTTCTTTAAGTGTCACCTGATCTCATTCGCCAGCAAAAGTCAATTTCGAAAATCGTTTATTGTCGCCATTTTTCCTCCCAAAGTGTTTCTTTTTTTCCCCCAATTTTTTTTTTTCACTCTCCAAGTAAATCGTCTTTTTTGTTGTTGAGCCAGTGGTCGTGATGGCTATTAGCACGCGAAACTGGCCTAGGAATTGTTGGGACGTCAGGAGGAAGAAACGAGTTAAGGAATGAGGGGGAGCAGAGCTATTTTCCTGTCATTGTGGCCACGTCCCTTGCATGGGAACAGCGCCTTCTGCTGATGGCGTGACACCATTTTCACACTAATGTGCCACGAAAATTTTCCGAAACAATTTTCTTCTCGTGTGAGAAATTAAAAGAAAGAAAGGAAAAGAAAGAAAAAACATCAACGCTAATGGGTCCTGCTTGGGAAAATAACAGTTTTGATTTTTAAAGAAATCGGATCGAATGGCAAAAGACTTGCTTTTATATTCATTTAATATTTGTGATTTTCGTCATGTTTTCCAACAAACGTTAAACCTTTCCGTTAAACATTTTAATATTCAGATTTGAAAATCTTTGATTGTGCATAAATCTTAATCACGTTTGTATATATCTTTTTTTTTTTTTAGTAAATAACGTAGCTACAACTGTAATCAGGATTTTTATCACGCTATAGAAGACACGCAAGACAGATAGCTAAAAACTATTTGAAGAGATTAAAATCTTATTGGGTTAACTGACCTTGCGTGGCCAGCATTCCCGGCACAGTCAGTGTGACTCGGATAACAGCATTTTCCAAATAGTTTAAGCGCTGTTCGCAGCTTTCGTTAAAGCCCCAGTGGCTCCCAAAGCTGACCCACTGATCCCATTTTTGTTTTTATCAGCATGCCTTAAACACAATCTGGTGAGCATTTCTCGTGTTAATTCTCAAACGGAAATAAGGTACGGATGATTAGCCCAGTAGATGAATGTACACCGTTGCGTTACACATGCGCATGTTGAAATATATGTTGACTAAATGTTTTTATTATGTATGTTTCCCACAGGCGAACGCTGCCCATAGAAAGATGCAAGTACAAAGAGAAAGGCCAGCCTCTGTGCATGGACCAGCACTACAGACTGTTCACGTCGTACAGAGAACCAGGGAGGGAGAGAGACGTGCAGAGGACAGACTTGGGGTTCATGGGACGAGAATACATCGTCGTCGCCTGTAACAATCAGGTACAAATAAATGTCCTACGACGTTGTAGCAAACTAACTTAACTGCGGGACGGCTACCTTCTGCTACAATAGATGGGACTCTAAGATTATTCAGTATCTGAAGTCCACGCATTAAAAGAACACACGCAAACCCCCCAGCCCCCCCCCCCCACACACACAAATAATGCATAAGCATCATGTACGTTTCTAACCTGTTGAACCAAATAGTTGAAGTCTTATTAGGACTGACCCTAATGCTTCATTTTATTATATCGCATTACAGTTCTACAAGGTGGATGTCCAACGGGAGGGGGATGAGCTGACAGAAGCGGACATCTGCTTGCAGCTATCACGTGTCTTAAACATGGCCGAGCAGGAAAGTAACCAATCAGAACCAGTTGGTCTCCTGACGTCACAGAAACGAACCTTGTGGGCCGAGCAGAGAGAAAGACTCCAACTAGGTTAGTCTACTTCCAAAATAAAAATAAAAGAATATATATATATATATATATATATATATATATATATATATATATAAAAATGTCATATAAAATTGTAAGACTCACTCATTATGATTTAATAACACACCGATAGATAAAGTACATGTATGGACAACCAACAAACGAAATGATTGGAGTAAATAAAAAAAATAATAACACTGTGGGCGGAGCAGAGAGAAAGACTCAAACTAGGTTAGTCTACTTCCAAAATAAAAAAAAAAAAATATATATATATATATATATATATATATATATATATATATATATAAAAATGTCATTTAAAATTGTAAGACTCACTCATTATGATTTAATAACACACCGTTAGATAAAGTCCATGTATGGCCAACCAACCAACGAAATGATTGGAGTAAATAAAAAAAATAAAAAAAATAATTAAAGATATATTTAAAAATTTCTATCGTCTTAATGTGCATTCAAATCATTTATTCGTTTGTTTTTTTTTCACGCAATTCTTCATGTACGTCTTCAACTGCTTCTTGCAGATGCCACAAACAGAGCGAATCTCCACATCCTAGAGAACTGCCTGTTCCTGTTGTGTCTGGACAAACCCACGGTCCCGTCACGGTGCGGTATCCAAGGAGGAATGCTTAACGACATGACGGCACGAACCCACCACATCATCCACGGACAAGGCGTCCACAACAACTCGGCCAACAGATGGATGGACAAGACGATACAGGTAAATATTTCTGGATGACAACACAGGGTGTTAACTGTAGTTCAAATATAGGTCGAGAAGGTGCTAGGAAAATGAAACAAAGAGGATTATAAATTATTTATTTCATTTTCACTTAACATATCATCTGAGCAATAACGATGTAAGAGTCATCGAATGACTTCTGGAGGACCCATGCCCCTCTACGGTTTTGTGTCCCCTTGCGTTCAAAGATAGTAGTTTTAAGGTTCTAAAGTCTCGACTCGAGGCCCCTTAAATATTTGACGCCCCCTCTGCAGCCACAGAGGTTTCTGAGCCCACGCCACGGTTCTAAATGATGTGGAAAATCCAGTTCCTCTAAGATTAATTAGACACGAACAATTTGTGTAAATAGAGAATATAAGTTCATCTTTAATAATGATCATACAGAATACAAATATAGACGTTTCGGTAATTGCATTCATCAGTACAAAAAAACATTAAAAAACATTAATGTAAGTATAAATTAACTTTAGATCAGATATATATATATATATATATATATATATATATATATATATATATATATAAAATATATAAATATATATATATCCTCTATAAAAAGAGAAAAAATATTAACACAACTTAAAAGCAACTTGATAATTAATTGACCCGTTCCTACTTTAAAACATTTCTACTGGCAAGCATGGAAGAAAAGATGATTCCTTAATATATAAATAAACATTTATCCTGCCTAAAATGAGAGAAAATAGTTTGTAGTCTACGTGATCACGATTTAAGCTGAGCGTATATTTTTTTTTTTACACAAATTGTTAGTACCTAATCGATCTACTTTAAAGCTTTATCGCTGTCCAACACTCTTAAAGAACTTATTAGTAAAACTATGTTATACATATGTTTTTACAAAAAAGATAGGTTTACAGACCTGTTTACCCTCAAACTCTTAAAACCGTACAATATCATCACAAAATCAATCAACACATATCTTAATAGTAAAATAAACATCAGTATATATAATGTATACACCTCAAAATCGTACATTGTACGCCAAAATCGTACGAGTAAACAGGTCTGGGTTTAGCTAACAATTACTATCTCACTGCAGGGGAACGTGTGACTTCAAAATGTATGTCTCGATCTTGCGTTGATTACGATTACGCTCAGGATTTTTTTGGCCACTGAGGACAAGGGACTCCAGTAAACCAAATCTTCACTCACGTCTTCTTCTTCTCCAGGTCATCGTGTCAGAAGACGGAACGTGCGGTATCAACATGGAGCACTCGGTCGCCGAAGGGATTGCTCTGGGTCACATGATCGAACACGCTTTCGGTGTCATGTGAGTTAACTGCGTCACTAGAGACAGCTTTTCTGTCGGGGACATAATGGGGGCGGGAAATATCAGCAGACACCGATTTTAATATTTAATTTTTCACAGTGCTGGAGACAGCCTAACTATAAGATGGGGAAGAGCTACAGCAATGTCAAATTGGGCTTTTAGGGGTTATGGCAGTACATAGAAAACTGGTTGTAGGATCTGACAGAGATATTTTTTTTAAAATAACAATATCTGTGTGAGATCTGATTAACAGTTATTTACAAGTTCAAAGAATGGAACGATTTCAATAGTTGACCTGCATATACCATATCAATCAATGCAATGACTTAAAAGATAAAAGATTTGATATCACCTGAGACATAGCCCATAAACTTAACGGTGTACCGTTTCCTCTACAGGGGCAAGGAGAAGATTCAAGACGGCCCCCGTGACCCCAACAGCCTACCTCACCCCAAGTGTTTGCAGTGGAGCCTGTCAGCACATTCCCTGGCAGACATTGAGCAGGCCAAGGAATCAGTTGACAAGTAAGTTCTAGGAACGGACAGAATTTACTGCTACACAGAACATATCGGATCAACCGATATATTTTAAGTATCATAACAAAGTAGGGAGGCATTAACACAAAATATTATCCTAATTTATTTCCTTTTTTAAAGAAAAATCATGAATAGGTTCGTGGAATTTAAAAAAAAAAAATCCTTTATATTAACTTTGCTTTTGTGTGTATAGGACCAAATCTGTGGACGGCTAATTGAACCACTTCCCGTCAACTGTCCAGCAGAAACTTAGCAAACAGACCCGTAAGCGATAAAAACACAATCAAAATTACAACCCTAACCCAAAAAATCAGTTTTCCCGTTTTTCAAGGGGAAAATGAAGGCAATAATTATGTCACTGATTTCACGAAATTCAATTCCCGATAAATGCGCTTAATGAGATTCTTTACAAAAAAATAGCCCAAGTGCTTTCGGTGAGCAATATCTTCTTTTGTTCTCCTGTAATCGTTGGTGAAATAAATCTGCAGTTTAAAAGTGGGTGGGCCATGAGACCATTAATCTAAAATAATTTTAAAATATTATGTAAAGGTTTTTTTAAGAGAAAAAAAATATGGTTTTAGGGGTTTTCGAATTCCATTTTCCATCCGAAGAATTTTTATTTTGATATCTTCATTGTGTTTTCATCCTTTGATTTTATTTAAACATTTTTTTGGGGGGGGGTTAAAATAGTTAAAATCCTCCCACCCTCTCAGAACCACATTTTATAAAAGCAAGCAAACTTCACAAGCCCTGTTTCCACATCAACATATTGAATGAAATGAGATCTTCTTCTCGCCTTTCTGCTCCATCAAAGCCAGTGGGCATGCTCCTAGCAACTCACCACGCACGTCAACACGACAATATCAAGGGGTTCCCTGCTTGTACCTAACATTCTCTCCAGTTTTGTCCGCCCCTTGAAGCTTTTCATGATTTTCTCTTTTTACCTCCCCCTTGTGTGAACAGCTCGTTGCTAAATGCAATACACGAATGTCGTGCGGATCTCAGTCGGGTCCCCGGGAGATTCCGGAATTAAATCCCGAAACCCTTTGGGAACATGCTAATTTCTCTGATGGCCGTTTACATCTGATGAAAATTTATCACGAGCGACAGTGGGTTATTTATTTATTTTTTTCTTTCCGTCTTCAATGCGGCTGTTCACCCCCAGCCGGTGCGTGGAAAAATGTCAAGATCCATTTACCAGTCATTGAGTATTCGCTCCCCTTTATAGTTTTAATTGGATATTGTCTCTTTAAAATAGTCCACTTTCATATTTGAAGCCAGTTCAAGTCTGAGCTATTTTGATTAAACATGACTAATCGTTTATTATGAAGAGAATTTGTTTGTTAATCGAGAAAAATATTAGATATATGAAAAGATACATCAGTGTTTCCCTATTTTACGAAACAAAGACGATCTAAGTTGTAACAAATTTCACTTCGGAAGCTACTGGCGTAACATGTAAACTTTTCGGACAATAGATTGCCAACTTCAAATTTTACCTGATGATCAAAGATAAAATATTCGAATAAAACAGCTTAAGAACATGCTCACAAATTTCAAACAGTTACTTGAAATACCAAGTGCCATCAGCCGCCCCGCCCCCCACCCCGCCCCCCCCCACCCCACCCTTTTACGCCTAGCCAAAAGAAATTATGGAAAGAAACGCAGCCAGTTTAGTGATCTGGCGAGCGGAAATGAGTTGTGATCATTTATTGGCGCCTCAAGCAAAGTGGATCTTTATGTTTTCATGTGGCGTGTTTGATGTTTGCATTGTTTGTGGCGCCAATCAACAATTCACCAGAATTTCCATATCTTAAGAGCGTTCGATTCGTCCTGCTGACATCGTTTCATTGTAAGAATTTTTTTTTACTTCCCATTTCTCTCTCACACTCGTTCCATATCTTTCTCTCTTTTTTTTTCATTCTGTCACTGCACAAATGTTTCACACAGCCCCCCTTTTTTTCAACTCTCATCATCTATTTCCCTCTCTCGTGTTTTCCTATTTCTCTATCCCTTTCTCTCTCTCTCTCTCTCTCTCTCTCTCTCTCTCTCTCTTTCTATCCACCCTCACTCCCCTCTTCCCTCTTGCACTATCACCTTAACGACGCGCTCACTCCAACCAGACATACTTTACGACCTGGTCATTAAACCTGGTCATTAATCCTGGTCATTAAACCTGGTCTTTCGGTCGACCCGTGGAGTGCACAGCGTCATGTTGATCGTGATACCAAATTGACAGCTTCCTGTGTAAACATTGCACAACTTGCCACCACGACATACCCCACACCAACAAATATAAAACTCCGCTACCTTAGCGCTAGTACGTATGCCCTTAACTGCACTACTTTAAAGCTTGTAAGTCAGCCCTTGACGCCACTATTTTAATGCCAGCATGTACGCCCTTTTCTTCGAATATCGAATACCCCCCCCCCCTCGCCCCTACGTGTAGTTGACGTCATAACTTACGGATAAAACGATGATTGTTTGACGTTAGGTGAGATTTTATAACCCTACCAAAGTGGGATTGTGGGATTGTGGGACTGTGGGACTGTGGGGGCTGTGTGTGGGTGTAAAAAGCAATTCATTAACATGTAAGAAATATCAATTGTTTGTTTTTTGTTATTTTATTGTTAAGATGTACTACTAAACAACAAGCCATTTTTTAAAAAAAGCTGATTAAACCTATAAAACAATACGCTCATTCAGTCCAAAGACAAAATAGGTTAGCTTTAAAAAAAAAAATAAAATAAAAAATAAACTTAGCCATCAATGTAAATGTAAGTGATCATTTATTTTTATTTGAAGGGGATATTAAAAAAATAATAAAAAATGAAACTTTCTGAAAATTGTTAATTGCTTCAAATCATATCACATTTTTATTTCAAAATCGGAATAGGAAACTGTATTCCTTTCATATAATCCCGCTTGTAGAAACACATCTATATTCCTCCACATTCTAATTTAAATTCAAAATATCTCAAAATCAGACTTGAAAAAATAAAAAAAAGTTCCTAAAGAGTTCTCTTTTCATGGCGTTCGGTCAGGCAGCGTAACTCGTGTGCCCAAATTAAATCAATTCCCCGCGGCAGCGTTCTATGGACAATTACTTTGCACAATTTGTATCCCTCCCTTGGGGTGCGGGCGACGGGAAATTGAGTCTATTTTCCAGTCTCCCCTGCGACAAGTATGAGTATTAGACGTCAATCCCTGCACTGGATTAAGCTGGGCGTCACGTCTTGAGCCAAAGCCTCGACCGCTTCTAGGAAACATCACTTTGGGGCGGTGGAAAGGAGGAAGGGGGGTGGAATTCTCGCTCGGGGCGCCGATTAAAATTTGGTGTCAGACGTTTTCGGCAGGATATTCAGCCACGGCGATTTATTAATTAGGCATCGCTCCATGGGGGAGTATAAACCAATTTGTTTACAATTTTCACGGATAGAAGTTAAAAAACAGGGATGGGTGTGAGGATCGGGATACGTTGCTTGCATTTCCGGGAAGAAGTTTTGGGACATCATCTGAATGTCTGAGAGTTTTAGTTTGTTTTTTTCTAAACGTTTTCAATCTATTCATTAATTTTTCTATACTTGCTATTCCGTTTGCTTTTCATAGTACATTTGAAATGAGATGAGTCTTACATTTCATGAAATATATTGTTCACTCTCTTGATCGGTTGTCTTAAAATTCAGCTGTACATTCCTATTGATAATGTGGAATTCAAAAAGGAGTACTGTATATTGGTTTCCTCTTCTTTGTTTTTATAATAATAGTTTATATAAATAATTCGGGAAAAGTCGAAATATAGACCAACCTTTAGCCAAAGCTTCGGACGAAATCAAACTTGCCTTTTACGATTTTTTGGGGGGCATAAATTCATATCTCCAATTCCTAGCTTTTCACGTCCACCAATCAGAACAGACTTTGCAACGTGCTTTCTAATAGCAACACTAGAGCTAAAATACATTTTTAAAAATAATTTTTTAATGTTTTGTTTTGGGTTTTTTTTTAGAAATCTCTTTTGATGTCACTCTTCATTTTACCGCCTGGTTTGGTTTGTGTTCGGGCATTGACCTATACTTAGACCACACGATGTTGTAATGCGACATAACATTAATGATTCATTCCTTATTCATGACCGCTGGACTTCTTTGAGAAAGCGAAAATCATCTTTCCAGGAAAAATGGCTCCTTAAACTTGATATCTTATTTCATTCAAAATCGAACACTGCAATATCTTCTAGAGAAATATGTCAAAGGAATCTGGCAATAATTTCAAAATTTCATTTTCATGGTTAACAGAGTCGAAATAAAAGTTAATGGTTAATTACCCAGAGATGACGACTCGCAAATTCAGCTTAGCAATCCATGAAATTCTTTATTTTATTATCTTTTACATTGCCCCCCCCCCCTCTCCCCACCACCATCACACTTTAAACCGGTTTTCCAGGCTAATGCATTTTGGAGCTCCGTCTCTTTATATTAACTATGATTAAGACAAGCACCACATAGTAAAGATATCTTTTCTATGCTTTCTTCCACCCCTTATCTTCTTGTTATGATCTCTAAAAATCTGACCACCGAATCTGAGGCGACTTTTACCCCCCATCCCCCCCCCCCTCCCCCCACTTTCCTCGTCCCGGGACATCGGGAATCAATAGTTGTAATCTTGAGCCGCACCCGAGCAGCCTAATTGGATTTGACTTGAATGGCCCCCATAAGACAGAGAGTTATCGGTCTTTATCGAGCTCTCGTCGAGTGGAGAACAAGAACGGCAGAGAGGAAAGCTGCACAGACGGAGAAAAGAGCCGTTTCCCGGAATGGGTGGGGGGCGGGGGGGGGGGGCTGGAGGAGTGAGGGACAAGCTGTAAGCAACCATTACCTTATTACCCCAATACCACATGTTAGTATAGAACAGGCTTGCACAGCATACGGCCCGCCAGCACCAACTTTGCGGCCCACGAAGTAACGAAATATTCTTTTATTGTTATTAATTTCTTAATAGCTTTCCCCCCTGTCCCATTTTCTTTCGACCCGCACAAGTTTTTCATAAAGTGTTACGGCCCACCTTACAATTTGAGTTGTGCAGGCCTGGTTTAGAATTAATAGACCTTTAAANCGGATTTCAGCTAGAGAAAGAGGGGGGTGTATGGAGGAGGTGATAGGGAGGGAAGATGGGAGAGAATATGAACTGACAATGTTGAGAGAGTAATCTCATGAATCTGGGATGTCCGTGCTTTTGAGCGTTGTATCTTTGAATGAAATGTCATGAGATACTAATCCTGAACATGAACAATATTAGGGTCGCTACTTTTTTCTGAATTAACACGTAGATGTTTCTTGGTTAACCAGTTTTTAGGGTTGGGAGTGGTTTGAATTGAATCCGAGGTTGTAGCTGAAAAAGAGAAGTTGTAAAGTTGAAGTGGGCCATACAATATTCTTTTTTGACTGAAACTGTGTTAATACAACATTCTTATTTGACCAGACCTGTGTTTTTACAACATTCTTATCTCACTGGACCTGTCTTAATACAATATTGTCCTATTCCTGGCTATTTTTGCCCAATCATCGCATTTGCAAAAATTAAAATAAACAACAACAACAACAAAAGAAACAAAAACTAAGTTTTATTTGTAAGCTAAAGACAACTACACACAGTCATTTTATGGTCACTAATAAAAGTGCAAAAGTGTAGTTTAACAGAGTTGAACTGAATCAAAATCCATGTGTAAACCGAAACGCATATTTTCCCTCCAGAGCTAGAAACTTATGTTGCTTTGATTGCTTTGCTTTGTATATATATATATATATATATATATATATATATATATATATATAATATATATATGTGTGTGTGCGTGTGTTTGTGTGTTAATTATATTTGTATGATGTAGATTTCAAACACTTGATAGTGTATCATCATGGCCATAGTTTCTTTTGGTGTCCATAATTTCTCATTGTGTCCATAGTCTCTTATGGTGACAATAATTTCTCATCATGCCCCCCTTTGTTTCCCCCCTCACAGCATGGTGAACGACTTTGACCTGACTGTGTTCAGATTTGAAGGCTACGGGAGGGAATTCATCAAAACCCAAGGCATGAGTCCGGACGCCTACATTCAACTGGCCCTTCAGTTGACCTACTACAAGTGAGTCAAAACTACTTTCTGTTAAGTGTGCCCCTTGACTTACTTACTTTTACACTGTAGCTCCTGCTCGAATGTCTCATGATTCTGGCGTTAAATAATTTTTACAGTAACTTGTTTCACAGCAAATATTTGTAAAACCCCGTTCATTCAAAAAAAAGTTTACAGAATTTTTATTTTCAGCGGGGACTCACTTCCCAAGTATTATTTTCATTTATTGTTCAATTAAGATCCACTTGTAAATTAACTACGCGTAGTTAATTTAACGGAACAAACGGAGTTTAACAAAGTTGCTTGAACTTAAATTGTACCTTAATTAACTTGCATTCATATTTATGGAATTCTCAGAATCCACGGGACTTTAACCTCTACGTACGAGAGCGCGTCAGTGAGGCGATACAGGCAGGGGCGAGTTGACGTCATCAGGGCCAACTCTCCACCAGCTTTGACTTGGATCAAAGCTATGCTTGGACAGACAGAAGCCACGGTAAGAATTCTGGGCCAGGACAGCAAATGACTTGTTGAATGAAGGGATATAAAATTACACGACTGGTTTAGAGAGTCGGGCAAAGATTTTTAGCATTCCCTGATTAAGGCAAGGGGCGTAATCAAACTATTTACAATGAAGAAATAAGGATTAAGAACTTGAGTATTTTTAAATTGTTTTTTTTTAATTCACAAGTGTATCTAATCGTCGTCATCAAAAAGGATGTTAAGGGAGATAATTCGTACAATTTTTAAGTTACATACGCTTGTTGTTAATACATGGAATACAAACAAATTCCTTCATTACATTCAAACAGGAGGAGGACAAGCTTAGACTTTTTACAGAAGCCGTCCACTGGCAACAAGATTACATGCTTGACGTGAGTACTACTTAGTCTACTATAGTCAATAATATTGATACAAATTATCAAACAAAGACAGAGAAGAGAGAGAGAGAGAGAGAGAGACAGAGAGACAGAGGGCAAAAGGCAGAGAGGTAGAGAGATGAAATTAAATATATAGATAAAGATTTAATACTATTCTTCGTAGATTCGTTGTTAACAATAACAACTCTCTGCGTTGTATATTGTTGAGGCATGCTGTATAACCTACGTATCAAACATTACCGTCATGTGCGCTGCTATTGCTTACTATTACACTAGATTTAGACATGGGCTAACAAGTGTGTGTGTGCAACAATGGTTTTTTTTTGTTGTTGTTTTTTTCTATTAAAGTTCGTTTTCATTGCAGACTATCCTTGGCTACGGAATCGACTTACATCTGTTGGGTCTGAGAGAGGCTGCCAAGGAGATGGGGATCCCCACACCTGAGTTTTTCAATGACCCCTCCTACAAGGAGCTGAACACGTTTCGCCTCTCAACAAGTCAGGTATGTCAACAACTCCACCTAAACGCTGAAACGCATGTTGCTGTTTGTCTCGAATGGTCAGGTCTTTTTTAGTGCGAGTCATTTTTTCGGGGACAATTTGAGGATATCATAGGAGTAGTTATTGAATAATTGTCATTAAAATAATTTTTTTATGGACTGCCTAGTATTAGCTGCCGAGTATTTTATTTGCACAGTTTCATTTAGGATCCAAATTGTGATATTTTAAACTCTATAAAGTATGTAAGGAAATTTAAGTCACTATTGATTTTTTTCACAACATTTTGTTTGTGCTGTAGGTCCCCACCGTGTCCGATTACTGGATGGGCTACGGGGCCGTTGTGCCTGACGGGTACGGCTGCTGTTACAACCCAAAGCCTGACAGCATTATCTTCAGCGTGGCCACCTTCAACACGTGCCAGGACACGTCGTCCGAGATGTTCGCCCACTCCCTGGAGTCCAGCCTGCTTCAGATGGCCGAGCTGTGCACATACGATCCTGAGACGGCAACCATTAAACAAAGATAAGACTGGCTAAAGACGAAAAGGAGGACCACCCCCCCCCCCTTTTTCCCTTGGGATGCAAGCCATCATCAAAATCTCACAGGACACATTGCCAATATTTTATAGTGTATATTTCTTGAAGGTGTGAGTTTTATTGTAAAGTTGTAGATGTCCCAACAATGAGTTAAAGACATCTCGCAGCCATATCAGCTTGTCTTAGGGCAGTTAAGACGGGTTGTAGCTGTTGTTTTCAGTGGATTGAGTGGGTAAGGGGCTAGAAGAAAAACCATCATCACTGAATATAAAAATCTCTTTGGTCTGAATAGGATTTGTCATTTAATGGCGGAAATCTATTAATAGAACATCTAGTCATACATTCTGGCATACATTGTGGCCAATGGCATTAAGATATTAATGGAACAATCCTGGTATTCTGTTTGGCCAATCTCTTCGGTACTTCTACGTTAATGTAAGCCAGCGTAGTGGGGCTTAACCTAGACTGCTAAATAAATAGGCAATTCTAAGTGAGAAACTATGTTTTACGAATACATTGCCTAAAAATGGTAACATGATGTAATGCGATGTGAAGTTTTCCAGTCTTAGAAATGACAAACTCTATAGGAGAATTTTTAACACTTCAATGAAATTCTTATTACATTTTTTCACTGATGATTTTTGACATGTTTACATTTACAAGATGTGACCTATAATTATAAGGGCCCATATTGGGCAATGAAACATGGAGTCTCTGAGTATACATTCGTTTGCTGATGCACACACTTGCTACTGCAACTACGCATTAGTGTAGTAGTCGTAGTCGAGAAACAGAACATTTTGAATATCCACATTGTCTCTTCCGATTTATCCGATGCCTAAAAACACAAAGCATCTCAATTAGGTATGCAAGATAATGTCAACACCTTATGTATCGATCTGTGAAAGAGGGTACCACTTTTTATATAGCCCATGTATCTACAAAATGTATGCATTGGTGAGGCAGAAAGCTGACATTGTTGAATACTCTTCCTTTCTTATAGGATATAATTATGCTTCTGCAGATCACACAACAGGAGATCTTCAATTATGTTGTAACTATAATTACTATTGTTGTTATTATTATCTTTGCTACTAATCCAAACTTGATTTTTGGCGTGATTACAGTTTTTTCTATAAAAAAAATGAACACAATGTCGTTTATTATTTAGAAACTGTCAGCAAACCAATTGTATAACTGGTTGCCATTGTTTGGGACCACTGTATACCTGGTGGCCATTGTTTAGAAACTGTTAGCAAACCAATTGTACGCCTGGTGGCGATTGTTTTACAGTGAGGTATTAGACTCTACGTGTAGATGTGATTTTTGTTTCAACTTATTACTATTTATTAGCAACATGTGATATGTATTAATACACCCATTTTTAGCCAACCGGAAAGGGTTTAACAACGGTTTACAAGGACATGTGCACTTCTTTAATGAATACCCGTCAGTTTTTTAAAACAAAATAAATACGAATCAACTTAACAATCATATTGTATTAAAGGTATAATCTTTAGAAAGGGTTTATTTCAAAATATATGTGGTATATACATCATTCTCTAATTAATAATTTTACCTAAACGTCACATAGTTTTTTAAGGTAGGTTTCATTTCATTGAATGGCTGTATTTTCCTTTGATATGATTGTTAAACTCTTTCCAGTACTTGTTACTTATTACTGTGCAATATCTGTACATACTGCCAAGTTGTTTAGACCTGTACACAAAGCTGTAGAAAGAAACTGAGATTTTTACAAAAATGATATCACATGTAACAACATTATTGCATAATTTTTCATAAGTAGATTCAATGTCATTTAGATGCCAATCTGTTAATGTGTATAAGATGATTTTCGCTCTCTCTTTCTCTCTCTCTGATCTTCACTCTTTGTTCATCTCGCACTCCCTCCTCTCGCTATTTTTCATTCTTTTACCTTCACATTCTACCCAACTTTATTCTATGTCTAACCCTGGTTGTTGAATCTCACCAACTTCATTCTATGTCTAGCCCTGGTTGTTGGATCTCACCAACTTCATTATGTGTCTTGCCCTGGTTGTTGGATCTCACCAACTTCATTCTATATCTAGTCCTAGTTGTTGGATCTCACCAACTTAATTCTATGTCTAGCCCCAGCTTTGGCTACTCACCTAGCCCTAGTTGTTGAATCTCACCAACTTCATTCTATGTCTAGCCCCAGCTTTGGCTACTCACCTAGCTCTAGTTGTTGGATCTCACCAACTTCATTCTATGTCTAGCCCCAGCTTTGGCTACTCACCTAGCCCTAGTTGTTGGATCTCACCAACTTCATTCTATGTCTAGCCCCAGCTTTGGCTACTCACCTAGCCCTAATTGTTGGATCTCACCAACTTCATTCTATGTCTATCCCCAGCTTTGGCTACTCACCTAGCCCTAGTTGTTGGATCTCACCAACTTCATTCTATGTCTAGCCCCAGCTTTGGCTACTCACCTAGCTCTAGTTGTTGGATCTCACCAAATTCATTCTATGTATAGCCCCAGCTTTGGCTACTCACCTAGCTCTAGTTGTTGGATCTCACCAACTTCATTCTATGTCTACCCCCAGCTGTTGGCTACTCACCTAGCCCTAGTTGTTGGATCTCACCAACTTCATTATATGTCTAGCCCCAGCTTTGGCTACTCACCTAACCCTAGTTGTTGGATCTCACCAACTTCATTTTATGTCTAGCCCCAGCTTTTGGCTACTCACCTAGCCCCAGCTGTTGGCTACTCACCTAGCCCCAGTTGTTGGCTACTCACTTAGCCCCAGCTTTTGGCTACTCACCTAACCCCAGCTGTTGGCTACTCACCTAGCCCCAGCAGTTGGCTACTCACCTAGCCCCAGCTTTTGGCTTCGCACCTAGCCCCAGCTGTTGGCTACTCACCTAGCCCCAGCTGTTGGCTACTCACCTAGCCCTATTTGTTGACTCACCCCGCAACGCTAGATGTTTCACCATGTTATCCAGTGTGTTCACTTCACAACGTTTACTACATATTGGTGATCTGGAGTGATTACTCTAACATTCCACGAACTTAAGACCAAGCAGTGTTGTGTTTAGTTTATCATCCCAGAGTCTTCTATTCATGCCTGTCCATTACATCTATTAATTACACAAGAAGACATTCGTGTGTCTATTTTAGCCGTATTTATGTAGAGAGTTGATAAAAGTAAAGCAATAATAAAAGAGGCTCCCATTATAAATTGACGCTATAACAATTTCACATAGCGACTAAAACAACTTATGCATTTGGGACTCTGAAAATTACTTCTGAATATGACCTAGAAACATGTACATATATTTCGCTAAAAAATAATAGGACGGACTTTGTCAATGTGGTTTTTTTTTTATGTTGTCATCAAGTCTTGTTTCTTTAAAAGGCAGGACATATTGTTTGCGGCATGTGACACTTTCGCTGTAGCCGGTTGTTGCTATTTTTTAACCTCTGTGATATTCTTTCATCTTTCACCTGTTACCAGGATCATCCTTTCATCCAAGCAATCTCTCTGGTGTCATCGGGGGCCACCCAACACTGGCTAAGTGGGTTAGTGATACAATCGGCTGACCCTCATCCCACTTCTAAGAGGATGGTTTAAAGATTTAACAATTGAAATGCGTTTTTAGTTTGCATTTTGTAACATTTTAACTGCAATATCATTTTTTTTTAAAGTCAGATAGACAATAAATTTAAAAAATTCGCTCAATTTAAATTCGAGAAATAGCCGGCGTAAGTGAAAGGAATCTGATCGCATACGAAGAGGTCAGCATTGTATCACAGCGATGTGGCTTTAACCAACATTTTAAACAAATTAAAAATTAAAAAAGACATCAAGGACTTTTTAAAAATTTAATTCTGTAAATTATTGGTCAACTGAAAATATTCACATAAAATAATTATGATTCGTTCAAAGTACAATACTTTATTTTTGATGCACAACTATTTTTATACAAAACTGTGTTAAGCTTCATTGCATTTCTTCTTGCTTCTTCTTCCAGTAGGGATTGGGCTCTCTCGAGTGTTGTAAGCCAGGTCATTAAAAAATACTCCGCAGATTTCATTCACTGTCTAGAAGCTGGACCAGTTGACTTTCCCTTAAAATTGTCCATATTATACTTTTATACTTACATCTGATTAATATCATCACGTGACCTAAATAATGAGAGAAAGTTTCGAGTCCAGTTCTCCTATTTATTCCTAATGTGTTATCTTGTGCGGGGGGGGGGCGGGGTTAAAGGCCCCCGGTTTGCCCACCGACACCCAGACACCAGGTGTGTGAGCCAAAAGGACAATACTAATATGCAAGTGTCGCCAGTTATGTAAAAACAACACACAATATGTCAAACATCATGTCAAATAAGTGTTTTAATATGCGTGCGTCGCCTGTTATGTACACCCAACACACAATATGTCAAACTTCATGTCACATACTGCTTAGAATAGATCGACTTATACACTCTGTTCAAACCAGAAAAAATCATGGATGTTGCTGTACATAAAGAAATGTTACATAGATTGATGTTGTAACTAGAGCAATACGAAAAAGAGAAACCATGTCTTATGTTTTTAATGTGTACAAATTATAAAGCTAAGTTATTTATTTATGTAAATGATGTTACTGCCATCTGTAGAAATCTCAACTTTTTTTTAAAATGTTCCGTAACATGTTACGGTTTATGATCATTCGGTTGAAAGAGTTGGAATATGACGTACAGATATAATTTATAAAGATTGTATGGTTCTAAGCGCTTACGACATTGACTGTGACGTACACAACAGTCTCACGAAATTGACTGTGACGTACACAACAGTTTTAAGACATTTACTGTGACGTACACAACATTTTCACGACATTGACTGTGACGTATACAACATTTTCACGACATTTACAGTGACGTATACAAGAGTTTCATAACATTGTATATGAGTAATATGACGTTCAAAATCTCTGATCACTGATTGAGACGTTCATTAGACCTTCATGAACAAGATGTGTCCTGTATATTTATTTTTATGATAATGAAGGTGATGAATGCATCCATTGTATACAATGAATATTTTGTTATTTTGTGTTTAAAGTTAAGAATAGACAATAAATACAAGCAATATTTTGTTTTTAAACTTGGACTTTCATCTTTGTACGCGTCGTGTTTCTACGTATGTGGTGCTGCGTGTTCAAGAGTTGAAATTAGAAATACAGCTGTCAGTCACATCATGGGGGTCAAGGAAAGAAAGGAAACGAACACAACTCAGATAGCGATCAAAGGAAAGACATTTTAAGGGGATCTGTGGGTGTCATCAAACATTCAGGACAACTTAAGGGGATCTGTGGGTGTCATCAAACATTCAGGACAACTTAAGAGGATCTGTGGGTGACATCAAACATTCAGGACAACTTAAGGGGATCTGTGGATGTCATCAAACATTCAGGACAACTTAAGGGGATCAGTGGGTGTCATCAAAAATTCAGGACACCGTAAGTGGATCAGTGGGTGTCATCAAACATTCAGGACACCGTAAGGGGATCAGTGGGTGTCATCAAACATTCAGGACATTTTAAGGGGATCAGTGGGTGTCATCAAACATTCAGGACATTTTAAGGGGATCAGTGGGTGTCATCAAACATTCAGAACAACTTAAGGGGATCAGTGGGTGTCATCAAACATTCAGGACACCGTAAGGGGATCAGTGGGTGTCATCAAACATTCAGGACACTTTAAGGGGATCAGTGGGTGTCATCAAACATTCAGGACAACTTTAGGGGATCTGTGGATGTCATCAAACATTCAGGACAACGTAAGGGGATCTGTGGGTGTCATCAAACATTCAGGACAACTTAAGGGGATCTGTGAGTGTCATCAAACATTCAGGACACCTTAAGGGGATCAGTGGGTGTCATCAAACATTCAGGACACCGTAAGAGGATCAGTGGGTGTCATCAAACATTCAGGACACCGTAAGGGGATCAGTGGGTGTCATCAAACATTCAGGACACCGTAAGGGGATCAGTGGGTGTCATTAAACATTCAGGACACTTTAAGGGGATATGTGGGTGTCAACAAACATTCAGGACACCGTAAGGGGATCAGTGGGTATCATCAAACATTCAGGACACTTTAAGGGGATCAGTGGATGTCATCAAACATTCAGGACAACTTAAGGGGATCTGTTGGTGTCATCAAACATTCAGGACAACTTAAGAGGATCTGTGGGTGTCATAAAACATTCAGGACAACTTAAGGGGATATGTGGGTGTCATCAAACATTCAGGACAACTTTATGGGATCTGTGGGTATCATCAAACATTCAGGACAACTTAAGGGGATCTGTGGGTATCATCAAACATTCAGGACAACTTAAGAGGATCTGAGGGTGTCATCAAACATTCAGGACAACTTTATGGGATCTGTGGGTATCATCAAACATTCAGGACAACTTAAGGGGATCTGTGGGTGTCATCAAACATTCAGGACAACTTAGGATCTGTGGGTGTCATCAAACATTCAGGACATTTTAAGGGGATCTGTGGGTGTCATCAAACATTCAGGACAACTTAGGGGGATCTGTGGGTGTCATCAAACATTCAGGACAACTTAGGATCTGTGGATGTCATCAAACATTCAGGACAACTTAAGGGGATCTGTGGATGTCATCAAACATTCAGGACAACTTAGGATCTACGGATGTCATCAAACATTCAGGACAACTTAGGATCTGTGGATGTCATCAAACATTCAGGACAACTTAGGATCTGTGGATGTCATCAAACATTCAGGACAACTTAGGATCTGTGGATGTCATCAAACATTCAGGACAACTTAGGATCTGTGGATGTCATAAAACATTCAGGACATTTTAAGGGGATCTGTGGGTGTCATCAAACATTCAGGACACCGTAAGGGGATCTGTGGGTGTCATTAAACATTCAGGACACTTTAAGGGGATCAGTGGATGTCATCAAACATTCAGGACACCGTAAGGGGATCAGTGGGTTTCATCAAAAATTCAGGACACTTTAAGGGGATCTGTGGATGTCATCAAACATTCAGGACAACTTAAGGGGATCTGTGGGTGTCATCAAACATTCAGGACATTTTAAGGGGATCTGTGGGTGTCATCAAACATTCAGGACATTTTAAGGGGATCTGTGGGTGTCATCAAACATTCAGGACAACTTAGGATCTGTGGATGTCATCAAACATTCAGGACACTTTAAGGGGATCTGTGGGTGTCTTCAAACATTCAGGACACTTTAAGGGGATCAGTGGATGTCATCAAACATTCAGGACACTTTAAGAGGATCAGTGGATGTCATCAAACATTCAGGGCACTTTAAGGGGATCAGTGGATGTCATCAAACATTCAGGACAACTTAAGGGGATCAGTGGATGTCATCAAACATTCAGGACACTTTAAGGGGATCAGTGGATGCCATCAAACATTCAGGACACTTTAAGGGGATCTGTGGATGTCATCAAACATTCAGGACAACTTAAGGGGATCTGTGGGTGTCATCAAACATTCAGGACATTTTAAGGGGATCTGTGGGTGTCATCAAACATTCAGGACATTTTAAGGGGATCTGTGGGTGTCATCAAACATTCAGGACAACTTAGGATCTGTGGATGTCATCAAACATTCAGGACACTTTAAGGGGATCTGTGGGTGTCTTCAAACATTCAGGACACTTTAAGGGGATCAGTGGATGTCATCAAACATTCAGGACACTTTAAGAGGATCAGTGGATGTCATCAAACATTCAGGACACTTTAAGGGGATCAGTGGATGTCATCAAACATTCAGGACACTTTAAGGGGATCAGTGGATGTCATCAAACATTCAGGACAACTTAAGGGGATCAGTGGGTGTCATCAAACATTCAGGACAACTTAAGGGGATCTGTGGGTGTCATCAAACATTCAGGACAACTTAGGATCTGTGGGTGTCATCAAACATTCAGCACAACTTAAGAGGATCTGTGGGTGTCATCAAACATTCAGGATGTCCAACAAAATGAAACAATATTGAAAATCTAACCGGAAAGCGTCTTTAGAGATTATAACTATTTCTAATAAAATGTGTCTAATAAAATGTTTCATGTGTCTCTCGAGGCATGAGGCATGTGAGGGGGATTAAGTCCATATTGTCCTCTTAGCACCTTCAGTACATAGTTGGGATTAGACATGTAAATTGACAATATAATCACACACACGTTTTTCTCTTCCTGAGAACTGCTGTTTTCCAATACAAGACTTCTCTCAAATTCACGCCTTTGATTATTTCGATTCCTTCGCATATTGGTAATCTCGTTAAAAAGTTCGGCAATTTTTGGTGATCGCAAAAGCTTACGAATACTACTTTTTTTACGAGCAGCCAGAGCACTCATGCTACGTATGCACTCATCACACTCATCATCGTCACTTTTAGACCAGCTCAGCAATGAGTAATCAGAGCAGGATGAGCTGGGACTCGATTCGTCAGCCTCACTCGTAGTCTGCGGGTTTGTAATGCTTGTCCTCCACCTGTCATCCGTGATTGGGCCGACATTAAGAGTTTCCATATGCTGGTCAGTCGGAAGAGAACCAATGTTTGGCATTTTCCGATGTTTGTCTTCAACGTCAGTGCTATCGTCTGATGTATCCCCAATTGTTGCTAGGTTTCCGAGGACTTCCACGGATTGTTCGAGGAATGCGCAATTCGACCCTTGTCCTAAATTCGAACTGACTGGGACCTCCTCATTACGAAATTCTGTATTTAAAAGACGGGAGCGTTTAAAATTGACTTTGACACCAGAAAACAGGGAATAACTTAAAACTCCGTTTTCATCCTTGCATCGCTGCAGGACTCTACCAACGTGATTAACAGCACCCCTTATTGGATTGAATGTGATCTTTTTATGTTCACCACTTTTCGCACAACTGGCGCCAGACATGGCTTCTTTCGGCATAACGAAATCAGAGATGTCGGAGCTGCATCTGTTCGTTTCCAAGTGGGTGGTGCTCTACAGCGCCAGTATCGAAGTTCTCATCTGTTGAGCAATAGCTGCCGTCTCCCGCCGTTGACCCGATAGAAGAATCAGACGTGCTGTGTGTATCATCGGCTCTCAACACCGCTTCACGATTGTCCACTGCTGTCTGGTCGAAACCTGAAACACGGGCGTCAGGCGTGCAGGGTTCGCTGTAGCTCCGTCGGTTGCCCTGGAGCGGGTCTTTTCGTGGTATGCATCTTGGCTGGGATACACTTCTGCGAGCCGGCGTCTGTATGACGGACACGATGGTGAAATCATTGTCGTTGGTTGACTTGGTTGTGACCATGCTCTTGGAGCCGCCCATGGTTCACATTGCCTGGAATGAGCTTGAGGACAATCAGTGTCTGCAATTATGTGTAAATATATTTATCTTTTATTACATAGATGTGTGTTACCCTATCTCGGAAAACGATGTCTTTAACTGTACTAGTTTTATAATAAGAATTTTTTTTATGCAACCACTCTTCTATACTTTAATTTTACGTGATACAAGAGTGTAATTCACGAAATGTTAGTGTCAAACATTCAGTGAAACCTCAGGTTTTTTGTTAATGAAATTCAACTTCATTTAATTGAAAATCTTATTTTGAAAGGAATCTACTTGTATTTAAATAAAATTAAACTGTTCTTATTTAATTTAGTTGAAGTTTATTCGATTTAAATGAACTCTGTTGTATTTGAACTTGCTTTTAATCGACATAAAAATATTATAATAATGATATTAATTACAGTATATTAATAATAATTATTATAAAATCAATCATCTAAGAGAAGAAAAACTTAGAATTGCAACCCGTAGATTGACGTTCCGTAGGCGGTATGATATGACAGCAATGAAAATTCCGCCACTCCTGCGACTACTGGTTCCAAGTTGTATTATTTACAAATGATGTTACCTTGGGTTGTCCAGATGCTTAGAGAGAGTCGATTTGCTGTCCAGATAACCAACTTATCCTCCTAAAGAAAAATCATATTGTAACGGATGGATTCCCAAATTAAAAATGATATCAATAACAGCAACAATAATCAAGTTATTACGACTTTCATGTATCGAAACTTACTCAGGTAGAGCTTAATCCAAGTGTGTTCTTAATAAGGGTCTTACGACTAGTAAGAATATTAAATCAAAATATATAATTTTTTGTTGTTGAGAGTTTGGCCTTAAATACACTACATTTCGTCACAGTCATTTCCCGACAGAAGCTCGCGTTTTCTTCTAAAAAGTCTTTTTATTTTAATATTTAAACTAAATTAACCAAACTCATTTTTGAATGTTTCGAAGCAGATGTAATTGAACGAATTGATTGATTGAAACGGTAGATCACACTCTAATTGATCGATTACTCAAATAGTTTACAACTTTCAATTCTAATAGAATCGCAGTTTAAACGCTTTTGTTTTTTTTTTTAATATTATTTTTTTTTAAATTTTTCATTTTTTTTAAAGTCGAAATAAAGAATGTTACTCCACTCAAGTTGGTGGAAGCTTGAAAACGTTCAGGCAACATTCGGATGTTCTGTTAAAGAAATCAATCAACGATCTTCACGTAGTCAATAGAGCGCAACGAACGTTGTCGTATTTTTGATCTTCCCTCCTACTCATACAGGTCACGCGAAATACGTGTTTTTTTACTTTGGACAGTGCTTGGGGGCTAAGGTCAAGGCCACCTGAATGTTTATCAACATGCAAGCCGCCCTTTGCTGCCCAGATATAGTCCCCTGGTACTGGGATGATGTTAATATCATTATGACCTTACGAAGTCTCATGTGATAATTACTGACGGTCCTCTCACTGTACGCGAAAATCTTCAGGAAGGAAGTAAATGGACATTTGCGTCCATACACCTTTGCACATCTTGCACGACGCATCGACTCTGTGCGTCCTGATGCACCGTTCAGCACTATCAACGAATAAAAGCAACACTTAATGTATTTAAAGCTGGATAGAGACCAGTAATGTTAGTTTCTCCTTAAACTTAAGTTTTGCGCAGACCAACTACATCAGTTTTAGATTACGTTTTACGAGGTAAAAGAATTAACAGGTGAGGAACACAAGAACCTGCCATTTGACTGTGCCCTGTTCATGTGCTTACGAAGTGTTACGAAGTCTTTGCCGCTGGCCTTTCTTTGGCTACTTCTAATTCTCATATACATTATATAAATAATAATCAATTAGTATTGCAGAATACAGTAAAATTAAAAGTATTTGCGCAAAAATGTTTTTATCGTATTTTTTTAAAATATATTACATGATTTTTATCATTAGATATGTAGTTGTATACGCTGGATGACATTTCCGATTTTCCGTTGCATTGAAGACTGCTACGGTGCGCCGCGACCTACTTCCTCATATGCGCTAATCCGCGTCGTCTAAGCTGAATGTAAACTCTACCACACAACCGCTGAAATATAAACATACACAATACTCTATCGCGTCATGGTAGTTTACATATAAAACCGTAAGGTATTTAAAAAATTACATGTAGATTTGGATAAGAGTATCTCAATAATCTCTAAAGATCTCCAAAGAACGCAGCTTTCAAAAAATAATAAATAAATCATAAAATGTTTTTAGTTGATATTTATTGCTAGAAGCTTTCAATACTGATAAAGTAAATTATGCTTCCAAGAAACCTTCCGCCATGATAAACCAGGTCACACCGTGTTCAGCTGTCATCATTGACGAGATTATCTAGTCCTGGATTAGCTATTATATAACATCACAATGTACACACATACACACACACACACACACACAAACGATCGCTTGGATGAGCGTTATCCAAAAAAATACAATCAGATAGTTTACTGTGTCACGTGATGAGATCAAATATGGTGGCCTATAATGTCGGTGCACGTATTTTATCTAATAGCGTTAATCCCAGTTAATCAGAAATATTTAACTTAATCAAATTTAAATAAATGTAAAGGTTCTTCAGAACACTGTCCCCTAATCTAACCTGTAATGTTATATGAAATATTTAAGTTCTTTGGGTTAAATTCGAAGAAGTCCAGGTCTATAACTAATGTGATATGAAATATTTAGTTCGTTGGGTTAAATTCGAAGAAGTCCAGGTCTTTAACTAATGTGTTATGAAATATTTAAGTTCGTTGGGTTAAATTCGAAGAAGTCCAGGTCTATAACTAATGTGTTATGAAATATTTAAGTTCTTTGGGTTAAATTCGAAGAAGTCCAGGTCTATAGCTAATGTGTTATGAAATATTTAGTTCGTTGGGTTAAATTCGAAGAAGTCCAGGTCTATAACTAGTGTGGTATGAAATATTTAGTTCGTTGGGTTAAATTCGAAGAAGTCCAGGTCTATAACTAATGTGTTATGAAATATTTAAGTTCGTTGGGTTAAATTCGAAGAAGTCCAGGTCTATAACTAATGTGTTATGAAATATTTAGTTCGTTGGGTTAAATTCGAAGAAGTCCAGGTCTATAGCTAATGTGATATGAAATATTTAGTTCGTTGGGTTAAATTCGAAGAAGTCCAGGTCTATAACTAATGTGTTATGAAATATTTAAGTTCGTTGGGTTAAATTCGAAGAAGTCCAGGTCTATAACTAATGTGTTATGAAATATTTAGTTCGTTGGGTTAAATTCGAAGAAGTCAAGGTCTATAACTAATGTGATATGAAATATTTAGTTCGTTGGGTTAAATTCGAAGAAGTCCAGGTCTATAACTAATGTGTTATGAAATATTTAGTTCGTTGGGTTAAATTCGAAGAAGTCCAGGTCTATAGCTAATGTGATATGAAATATTTAGTTCGTTGGGTTAAATTCGAAGAAGTCCAGGTCTATAACTAATGTGTTATGAAATATTTAAGTTCGTTGGGTTAAATTCGAAGAAGTCCAGGTCTATAACTAATGTGTTATGAAATATTTAGTTCGTTGGGTTAAATTCGAAGAAGTCCAGGTCTATAACTAATGTGATATGAAATATTTAGTTCGTTGGGTTAAATTCGAAGAAGTCCAGGTCTATAACTAATGTTATATGAAATATTTAGTTCGTTATATTCGAAGAAGTCCAGGTCTATTACAAATGTGATATTAAATATTTAAGTTCGTTGGGTTACATTCGAAGAAGTCCAGGTCTATAACTAATGTGATAAGAAATATTTAGTTCGTTGGGTTAAATTCAAAGAAGTCCAGGTCTATAACTAGTGTAATTTGAAATATTTAAGTTCTTTGAGACAAAATCGAAGAAGCCCAGCAACAGTTTGAAAATTGTTTGTAAAATATATATATATATATATATTAATTAATAATCATAATAATTGTTGTGTTTTTCTTAAAAGGAGTACAATCACTCTGGTTTTCTTTCAGTAGAGTACAATCACTCTGGTTTGCTTTCAGTAGAGTACAGTCACTCTGGTTTTCTTTCAGTAGAGTACAGTCACTGCACTAACCAGTTTAAAATTTTTTTTTTTTTTTTTTCCTTTTTGAGGTTATAACCCAAGCCAGCACATCAAAAGCTGAACCATGGCTGAGATACTACAAGCCATGCGCACGTTCGCGCTGTTGCGTGAGTCGGACACCAACATAGAGGAGGGTCAGCAGAAGGAGTTCTTGAGGGGAACATTCAGCATCATGGAGTTTGATGAGAACAGTAAAGACCAGCTGGACGCACTCAAAGTGAGTACAGAATGTGACATAGTTCAGGCACACGCTCGGTTAAATCATCGCCGTCATCATGGGGGTACACCATTGTACGGTTCAGCTGGTATTCTGGTTTAGCATGATACGATTAATTTTTTTTTTCTTTAACGCTGAGGAAAGTAAAGAGCTCCTTGCTGACAAGACCTTTCGAAATTTGTTCTATTTGTATATTATTTAAAGAAAATGAAGAACAACAAAAAGAAACAAAAAAAAAAAAAAAAAAAAAAAAAAAAAAAAAAAAAAAAAAAAAAAAAAACTTCACAAATCTTGAATCGGTAAATCAAGGATTCTGTTAATCACTGATTCGGTAAATCAAGGATTCGATAAACATTGAAATGTTCGTAACTATGCTCAAATGGTTACAGAAGCTAGTCAAATGTTAGCAACGCTTCTAGCACTAATACCTAGCGCCTCATGTAAAAACAAGTACAAGGGAAGAAGAGAAGAGAAACGCCTCACTCGAATTTAACAGGAGAATCGCAATGACTGATTTGCAACAATTAAAATACATCAGATTTTAGGCCTATGGCTTGACTCAGCATCAGAAGATAGATCAGATTTTAGGCCTATGGCTTGACTCAGCATCAGAAGATAGATCAGAATTTAGGCCTATGGAATGACTCAGCGTCAGCAGATGGATCAGATTTTAGGCCTATGGCTTGACTCAGCGTCAGAAGATAGTTCAGATTTTAGGCCTATGGGTTGACTCAGCATCAGAAGATAGATCAGATTTTAGGCCTATGGCTTGACTCAGCGTCAGAAGATAGATCAGATTTTAGGCCTATGGCTTGACTCAGCGTCAGAAGATAGATCAGATTTTAGGCCTATGGAATGACTCAGCGTCAGAAGATAGATCAGATTTTAGGCCTATGGCTTGACTCAGCGTCAGAAGATAGATCAGATTTTAGGCCTATGGCTTGACTCAGCGTCAGAAGATAGATCAGATTTTAGGCCTATGGAATGACTCAGCGTCAGAAGATCTGTTTTGTTTCTTAAGGTGTTGTTGGTTTTTTTAAATACATTTTTTGTATTGTATCCTTATGATCACGTGACCATGCCATTGTGTCGGCAACTCTCAACACACATGTTTAAAGTTACATGTTTCTAGACACAATTTTATAGACCAATGTTTATAGACACATGTTTGTACACAAATAGTTTATTTTTCTTATTTCCACGACTAGTGTCTTTGACTTGTTTGAGATTTCCAAAGAAAAAAAGAACAGCTCCAAGTATTGACCAAATATTGAGCTTTTTTTTACCCAATAGTTCTTCTGTTATGGATCTTCTATAAATAAATGTATTTGGTGGCAAAAATCTAGCTCAATCTAAAAATGCTTGAGATGGGGCCCGCTACAATGGAATAATTCTTGTCTTATTGTTCGGATTTTAACAAAATCCAGAATCCTTTTTTGAAATAGACAGAAGTCAAATTGTATTCCAAAAGTCGACACTGATTCTCCGATAAAAAAAATTGGAATTCAAAATCTTTAAATAGGCAACAGTTCAATTGTAAACTGTACGAAGTTTGTGACTCCGTTAGGCAAAGTTCATGAAGTTCAGAAAGGAGATTGGAGGCCTCGACACTGACGAGTTCATGGACGCCATGAAACCTTTGATCTCTAAAGGCATCAGTCTCAACCAGATTCTGACCACCTTCCACAAGATGGACCCGTGCGACGAAGAGGCTCTAACGTGGAATGATTTTATGAATTTTGCCATTGAGGTGAGCGTTTTCTTACCACTTCCCTTGGAGACGAGAGAGTGAGCGCATCAAATGAATGGACGTTATTCTTTACTTTAAGTGCAAAACTATTTGAGAGATGTGAGGTGATGAGAGTCGGTGAGAGGTGTATGAGGTAGTAAAAGTTAATGAAAGTTGATGATATGTGCTGAAAGGTGGCGAGTGTTAATGTTAGGGGATGATAGGTGGCGAGAGTCGGTGAGAGGTGGTGAGAGTTAATGAAAGGTGGTGAGAGGTTATGAGAGGGGATGAGAAGTAGACAGATCTAAAGAAAATTTTCAATAAAGGCGAACTCTTTACAATTTTAACATCCCACAAAACATCATTTAATTATGTAAATATGTTTTGCTTTTAAAAAAAATTAAAGATACCTTCTTACTCCCTCTCACAGGAACGCATTAACGCATGACTATGATTTAATATCCTCTCACTGGAACACAACAAACTCATGTATATGATCTAATACTCTCTCACAGGAAGTGAAAAAACAAACTCATGACTGTGACTTAATACTCTCTCACAGGAACACAACAAACGTATGTCTATGATGGCTACTATGGACGAGATGCCATTTGGGCCCGACGTGTTACAGATAAAACACAGCCACAGAGAACCCATTGTCAGGATTGCATTCATGCCAACCGTTGACCCAATCAGCAAACATGTCGACTGGAGCTTCGGTAACTCACTGCAGGGATATCAGCTCTGGAGTCAATCTTTCTATTTTCCTGGATCCTTTTTTTTCCCAGATATTAATCTTCTTATAGTTATAAAGATTTATTTTTTTTAAAAAACACGCAAATCTCCTTAAATTGTCTAGGCATCATGTTCAATTTCTGAGATTCAAAATCACAACAGCGACAACCATTACAGTTAAAGTTTTGTGACTTAACGCATGTGTTCATTTCATAACATGCATGCAGTAAGGGAATTGATTTTTTTTTAGAAGAATTGATAGTTGAAATAGCTTACATTTTAAGAATTCGTTCTCGAAAAATCAATTTTCAAAGCGATTTCTAAGAACAAAAATTGACATGGAATAAACGTTATAAGTAAATCTAAATCTCTTATTCATATACAATAACAGTTAATCTAAATCTACTATTTATATGCGACATCAGTAAATCTACCATTTATTTACAAGTTATTTATCAGTAAATCAAAATCTACTATTGATATAACTGTTAGATTTTGTTTAAATTTTGTCTGCATAATCTTTGATATAATCTATCGCGATCAGATCAAAATCTTTCCGACACTATGGTATGAGAGTGAGACAGTGCAAAACGGGCAGGTTGGGATATAAAAGAAAATGATCACTTGAGATCAAAAAAAGATACCCCTACGTGTACTGTCCCCATTCCCAGGCAAGTACATGGTGCTGAGCAGAGAAGGGCTGATGTCCGTGTGGTCAACAAAGATGAAGTTGCAGAGCTACAACAACCTGGTCCCCAAAACTTTCACTGACGGGGGCTGGTACATAGAGATGGCATGCATGTACCACAACGGGTTTATCTGCATCGCCACCACGGGACGGGATATCGTCTTCTACGACTACACGCGGGCTGGATGGTCCAGGAAGTGAGAAGTCTGTGTTTAATGTAGAAGTGGGTGTTTAACGTAGAAAAGGGTGTTTAACGTAGAAGTGGGGTTTTTAACGTAGAAGTGGGTGTTTAATGTAGCAGTGTGTGTTTAATGTAGAAGTGGGTGTTTAATGTAGCAGTGTGTGTTTAACGTAGAAGTGGGTGTTTAATGTAGCAGTGTGTGTCCACATAAAAAAAGAAACAGGAGAGGCAATACCTGTGGTCACACTACCATGTCTCCTTACCTTTATACCCCAATAAACCAACAATAAACTTAATATACCCCAGGTAACCCTCATAGACTTGATATATCCCAATAAACCACCATAGACGTTTATAGCCCACTAAACCACTATAGACTTGATATACCCCACTAAAACTCCATAGACTTATTATACTCTCTATGTACATGTTGTTGATATACCCCAGTAAACGACAAAAGACTTGATATACCCGAAAAACACAATAAATGTGATATACCCCACTAAACCACTATAGACTTGATATACCCCACTAAACTCCATAGACTTAATATACCCTACTATGTACATGGTGTTGATATACCCCAATAAACCACAATAGACTTGATATACCCCAAAAACACAATAGACTTGATATACCCCACTAAACCACCATAGACTTGATATACCCCACTAAACCACAATAGACTTGATATACCCCAATAAACCACAATAGACTTGATATACCCCAAAAACACAATAGACTTGATATACCCCACTAAACCACCATAGACTTGATATACCCCACTAAACCACAATAGACTTGATATAACTCACTAAACCACAATAGACTTGATATAACTCACTAAACCAACATATACTTGATATATGTCACTAAACCACCATAGACTTGATATACCCCACTAAACCACAATAGACTTGATATAACTCACTAAACCAACATATACTTGATATATCTCACTAAACCACCATAGACTTGATATACGCCCTTAAACCTCCATCTACGTGATAGAAAACTAGGAACATGTTTAAACCTCTGCTCCCCTCAGATATGTTGAAAATGTTAACAGATTCTGATGTTGAAAGTCTCAAAATACATTAATTCTACAACAGACAATGATACCGACATCAGTTGACCGATTGAAATAAGCCTATTATTTTTAACTACGTGCGTGTCTTTGTATTTATAAGTGGTAATATATGTGTAATAATGTAAAGCGTCATAAGCCTATAGGTGTGCATGAGAAATCTAAGTCTAAATGCATCAACTCTTATACAAAGAACCGGTCACGTTTAAACACTGATAATTAGCATTGAATTTAATTGTATATGTGTTGTTGTTTTTTTCTCCTCTCCTCTGACATAACGGTGGAGAATGGCCTCTTCTGTATTAGGCTGGGATAGTTGCAATCGATATTTAGATTACATTACGATCGAATATTAGTTTATTGTATGTTTATTTTCGAACTGTTGAAATCAGTCATCATTAAATAAATTGCGCTGCTGTTCAATTCCATCACTTTTAATTGTCACGAAGTTCCCATCTCATAAAACACACATTAAAATTTGGGAATAACTTCATTGTTAATACACTTGAGACGGGAAATTCTTAGATTCACACATTGTTAAAAAAACTGTTTTTCTACCCTTAGACTAGCGTCTTGTTAACTAACGGTGCTACCCTTAGACTAGCGTCTTGCCAACTGACCGTGCTACCCTTAGACTAGCGTCTTGCCAACTGACCGTGCTACCCTTAGACTAGCGTCTTGCTAACTGACCGTGCTACCCTTAGACTAGCGTCTTGTCAACTGACCGTGCTACCTTTAGACTAGCGTCATGTCAACTGACCGTGCTATCCTTAGACTAGCGTCTTGCCAACTGACCGTGCTACCCATAGACTAGCGTCTTGCCAACTGATCGTGTTTGTGTGGTTTTTTTTCATGACGGTTGTCTCCGCAGATACTGGCTGAAAAAGTTGAGCCACTCTGTGACCTGTATGTCCTACTGGGCAGGATTATCAAACGAACAGATAGCGGTGCTGATGTGGGGCGACACTTCCGGAAGTGTCAGAATGATCGAATTCGAGCTCTCGCAGAGGCTGCCAATGTTTGGGATACCTGTCAAGGAAGGTTGGAGATCTTATCATCCTCTTTCATCCTAGTTCTTAAAAAAAGGTGTAGGGTGGGGGTGATGAAAAGTTTTTAGACTTCATCGAAATAAAGCCCAAAAGACAATGGTTGTTATTTACGTGAGAAGTATCTTTAACATAAAACAGAACACCATCATTCAAATATTTGATTTCAAATTTTTAACAACAAAATATATATTTTTAAGCATAACGAGTGAGGTACAGTAGATAACCCTTGTTCATTATCCCTCGACTCCTTCATACCAAATGAAATTACCCACGTAATCGTGGTAGAAAAGGCAGCATCACTGAGCTGACTGAGCCAAAGCCCTTACAAAGAATCAATTTTTGGCTTATTCGGAATTCGCATTGAAATTGATCCAGTTTTAGTCCGTTCCCGTGCCTGGTCAGAAAAGTCTGTCAGTAATGGTGACGTAATTTGTCTGCGTCTTCCAGGGTGCTCGGATTTATTTTATCCTGATCTACTCAAGAACAATTTCGAGGGAGTGACGCATCGCGTCTTCAGTGCTGTACACAAGGATTGGGTTAAGGAGGTCAGTAACTACATCGTTGTGCTGTACACAAGGATTGGGTTAAGTAGGTCAGTACCTACATGGTTGTGCTGTACACAAGGATTGGGTTAAGGAGGTCAGTACCTACATGGTTGTGCTGTACACAAGGATTGGGTTAAGGAGATCAGTACCTACATGGTTGTGCTGTACACAGGGATTGGGTTAAGGAGGTCAGTACCTACATGGTTGTGCTGTACACAAGGATTGGGTTAAGGAGGTCAGTACCTACATGGTTGTGCTGTATACAAGGATTGGGTTTAGGAGGTCAGTACCAACATGGCTGTACTGTACACAAGGTTTGGGTTAAGGAGGTCAGTAACCATATGGCAGTGCTGTTTGTACACAAGGATTGGGTTAAGGAGGTCAGTACCAACATATATGTCCTGTACACAAGGATTAATTGGGTTAATGAGGTCAGTACCTACATTTCAATGCTGTATACAAAGATTGGGTTAAGGAGGTCTGTACAGCTTTACAACTTTTAATGATTTTTATCTGTTACTTCCCTTTGACCGTAAAGAACCTCATAGTGCGACCTCACTTAAATTTACAAGGTTAACGTTTGAAAACTTACAGTAATACTTTGGATTGAAGGGAAACAATTACCGTTGTCAAAAGCAAGACATCTTCTTTTCCTGTTGCAGAAAACGTAATGTTTGTAAAGAAAATATTTGGAATATAGTCTCTTTAAAATTTTATGTTGAGATATGGTTTTTATATATGCCCATAAACTCTTCTATTTCATCGTCTTGGTGAATTTGATGTAGAAGTATTTTCATAAGTTCAAGGTGAAAAAATTTTACACGTTGTTATACGGGAGAAAAAAATGACCACCCTACAACTGTTTTGTTTTTATCAACTGTCATAAGTTGTCAAATAAACAGAATGTTCGGCTTAGGCGGGACGATTAAAAGACATGGCTACTTGAATTGAGTTTGGGGGGTGGGGGTGTGGGGCGGGGGAGGTGATCGACACAATTGTCACTTTATATTGAATGCTGTCACACAGGCAGTCTCAGACATACTGTAACTGTCATTTATTCACTGTGAAGCAGCGTTTATTTCTGTTAAGACATTTGGTGTTCTTGACAGGTAAAGTACATTCCCGAAGCCAATTCTTTTGTATCCTGCTGTAAAGACGACTCCACTGCTCTCTACATGAGCCACGTTGAGCCGACCAAGAAGAAGCCTTGTTACTTCTACACCCTGAGAGGCCTACTGTGCTTTGACTTCAGGTTAGACCAGTCTTTTGGCCTTGCTGGAGAGTTGCCGCACGACCAGGGGTTGGGGAATGATGGCCGGCAATGTTAAAGTGTTAACCACCAACGGGAATTTGGTGGTAGTCACCAGTCAACTTAGTGAGCTCCCCAAGACCAGTGTTGGGGGATAGTGGTCGGCAATCTTAGAGAGTTACTTCACTGTGGGGATTAGGGGATGGTGGTTGCCTGACACGTTAGAGAGTTGCCAAGCGTCATGGATTTGGGGATAGTTAGCGTTATTACCAGCGATTGTTCTTGCCACTAAGAATGTGTTAGACTTTCAAATAAATATACGTGATAGCCCAACGAAGGCAAACGATCCTTACTACAGTCGTACTGCATCAAAACAGCTTGACAATTATAAACCTTACTACATTTCTATTGCCTCAAAACAGTTTTACAATTACAAACTTATTACGGTTTGTAACAGACTATGTTTATTACAAGAAAACAGAGAGGTAGCATGAGTGAACAGTGAATTGTGTTGACCATGTTTTGCCACGAGGAGAGTGGATTGTATTTTGAGAAGCAAATTTGAGCTCCACGTTTTTGGAGAGTAAAATTATGTTTTCAAAAAAGCGGTCGTCTCCACGCATTGCTGGTAATAAAGGGGGCAGTTGAGTTGATTGAAAGAAGAAGAGTAGAGTTAGATCTGAGGGCAGTTGAGTTATAGTTGAGATATAGTACAGTTGAGCTGAGTTATAGCAGTGTGAGGACGTGTCTTTCTGAGTGATGGAATACTATATATATATAGATGTGAAATGATTACATTCATGCAAGGATTATTATTAATATTATCAATGTAAAGTGTGATTCAATAAAGTACTGTAAGTTTAGCCAGGATTCAGTATTCTTTTTTTGCGTGCCTGGATAATAACTGGAAGAATGAAGAAGTCTTAACCGGCATCCTGAATTAATGAATTATTAACATAAAACAAGTGACCATGCTACTGACATAACCCATTAAGTTACAATGATGTCAGAGTAATGTGTTACACGGTTGTATTGCAG